CCCCTCTCTGTCCGCACTGCTCCTCTCCCTAACCGGCCTGCCTTTGCTCTGTCTCCCCTCTCTGTCCGCACTGCTCCTCTCCCTAGCCGGCCTGCCTTTGCTCTGTCTCCCCTCTCTGTCCGCACTGCTCCTCTCCCTAGCCGGCCTGCCTTTGCTCTGTCTCCCCTCTCTGTCCGCACTGCTCCTCTCCCTAGCCCGCCACTCCGCGCCTTTCTATAGACTCCATGCTGTCTCTTTCTCCTCCCCTGCTGCAGTATCTGATTCCCTCATAGTCACTCGTGAGTTTTTGCTTCTGTCTCTGCCTTGTCAGCCATCACCCCTACCACTTTCCCTGTTTCTGCTAGCTATGAAGTTTTTTGACTATTGCTCCTATTCCCTTTAACATAACTTCACACTGCATTGCTGTCAATCCACTGCTTTTCACAAAGCGATCGATTCCCCTGATCACATCGTCGTCTTCCTCCTGTTAAGCCCCTCATGCCTGCATCTTCCTGTGACACTGTCCGGCTCTCCATCCCGAGCCCTTGTGTCTGACACATCGCTCCCTGCCTCTCGTCCCCAGACATAGATGAGTGCCGGTACAGGTACTGCCAGCATCGCTGTGTCAATGTTCCTGGGTCCTTCTCCTGTCAGTGTGAGCCTGGGTTCCAGGTAGCCGGGAACAACCGCTCCTGTGTAGGTGAGGCCCTCAGAGAGGTCTGCTTGAAACCAGCCTGCAGCATCTGTACATACAGTACCTTCATATCGGCAGGGATGTACGTAACTAGAATGCAAGTACACATTCACCTTTAAAAGCGATACATGCGGCAATTGATTGCTGTAACAGCGCGAATGCGTACGCATTTTATGTGCATTAGTGCTTCTAGGACAAGAAACTATTGCGCATTTTAACCTTTATACTGTATGCTAATTCGTATAAAGGTTAGAAAGCATGGTTATTTCTTGTCATAGCAACACAAATGCACATAAAATACATACTCATTTGTGCAGTTATAACAGTCGATTGTCGCACGTAACGCTTTTAAAGGTGAATGTGTACTTGCGTACCAGTTATGTGCATCCCTGTATATAGGGGGTGCTGTGGGCCTCTCTGGGTTAAGACTCTATGCCCGTGGCCATCTAATTGAGCAAGGTCTTTAACACCCCAGAAAATACTGCTCCTGCATTCTGATCCTAAGCTTGACCCTTTCCTGCATATATGTGTGTCTCATAGGAGGGAAAGATGGGATATGTGACGGTTACATTTTGTTGTTCTTGATTTCACTTCTACAATAACAATAAATAATTGCGTTGATGTGAGCAATCGATTTTCTGCTTTTCAGTGAAATATATATATATTCACGGTTAAACAAAACAATTTTATTAGACCACAAATATTTCATGTGTAGTTTGTAACTGTTTATTTTATTGTCCCCCCCCCCCAGATGTGAATGAGTGTGAAATGGGGGCCCCCTGTCAGCAGAGATGTTATAACACCTACGGCACCTTCCTGTGCCGCTGCCAGCAGGGCTATGAGCTCGGCTCCGACGGCTTCACCTGTAACGGTAAGTGACCGGGCTCCTACAGGTGACGCCCTCTTGATCCGCCGTGCCGAGATGGCCGGTTCTGTCGGAGTCAGGGACCAGGCAGTGGAGTGAGCTTTAAACGGCCCTCTCGCCTTCCCTGCCTGCTTCCTCTCTTTCTGCAACTCTAGTTTTCCCACATATGACCTACTTAGATAAGCATTCAAGCCACTGTTTCCTAACACAGTCCTCGGGCACCCACAGACAGTCCATGTGTTTGCTCTCTCCAAGCTCCCTGCCAGAGGGAGGGAGCAAAAACGTGGAGCGTCTGCGTGTCCCGGGGGACCGGATTGGAAAACACTGATTTAAGCAAAAAAAATGATCGAGAGAGCCGGAATCTGTCAGATGTACACCTTGGCGGTTGTGTAGTTTGTTTGCGGGCCGTTTGGGTTTCGCCACGGCGATGGGGGTGAGTGCTTCTCGTAGCGCTGACGGATCGCTGGTGTGATTCTCCCTGATGCGCCGTGAGGCTTCCCTGGAACCGGCAGGGCTGCTGAGGCATACCAATGGGGTCGGGTTTCTCTGCGTGGGAGGGAGTCCGGTTATGGGCCGGTGTGACTCATGTTTGGCGGCGGGCGGGGGAAGCCGGGCCGGCGTGGCGAGCCCAGGCGTAGTCGTGACCCCATTCCTCCAGTTCATGAAGGGGGGGGTTGCCCAGGATTGAACCGCAAAAAAATGAAACATTTATAACTTCAGGATTATTTCACCATGGTCCAGCTTATCAACCTGAACCCGCTCTGTGCTACAGTCTTATGGAAATACAGCTTAATAGCAGTAATAATGTTCATTATTGTAATTAACACCATTGCCATCTTCATGTTTATGGGCTGCCGTAACAAAAATGAAAACTAAATGAACTATTTATCTTTCATTGAGTTATATGAGATTAGAGGTTAATTATAGTGATATATTTATATAAAATATTATATAATATATATTATGTGGCATGCATACCCCACCAGTCCCTTACAGTGCAATATTGTCATTTCCTTTTTTGAGTTTAACCCACAAATTACCAGGCTACTCTAAACTGGCAGATGCCGCTTAATAATACCATCATTTCCCAGAAACCCCCAACAGGGACCAAAACCCCGATCACCAATCAGAACCTCTCTCAGCTGTCTGTCAAGCTGTGCCTTATCTGTATCTTTGCCGTAACACAAAATCCGCACGTGTTTGCGATGTGTGTGTGTGTGTGTGTGTGGATGTGCATCAAGTGTAAGTCAGAGTGAGTAAAGGCCCTGGCTTGTTCAGTTGTGGTCTGTGTCTGGGAAACTGTTCCACCCACAGGAGGCTCATTGACTCAAGAAAAGATGTCATAACATCTAGTTAGCTCAGTCCTGTTGCACAATGTCACACTGCAGTCATGTGGTACCATTATATCAGGGCTATACAAATCAGTCTTCAAGGTCTGAGCTGATTTTCCAGCCTTCCTTTACCTGGGAACCAGATGTGAAGCCTCTGACCAATCAGAATCAGTCATTATTAAACTAACTACCTGGGAGAACTGAAAACAAGGCCTGGATTTGGAATCGAGGTCCAGATTTGAAGAACCCTGTATTATGCTGTAACATATGAGTTCATGACCTTGAATTAAAACTAAATTAAATGTAATGAATTGGACTTTATGAGAAAATTATTAAAACAAGGAGTCAAGGCACGTGTTATGTAATACAAGGTTATGAGAATAAAGCAAGCAAATGATAAGTGATTTTTAGTTATAAGGCTTATTGCTATTTGTAAGCAAAGTTTAATGGCTGAATAGTTTTCAAAGTGCCTGTTAAAAGTGAATTTTCCCACGTTTTTATGATTGTCATTGGCAAAGCACTGTTCTGAATCATATTGCATGATGTGCGCCCTCTTGTGGCCACCGTCTGTAGGGTACATTAGAGCAGTGTTTCCCAACCTTTTTTTTCTGCTACAGAACATTTTGCATAAAGCTGCTTTAGAACTTGCACTGGCAGTGACTCTAAACTCCTCAATCCGCAGATATCGACGAGTGCAGTTACTCCAGTTTTCTCTGCCAGTACCAGTGTTTGAACCAGCCAGGAAAATTCTCGTGCGAGTGTCCGGAAGGGTACCAACTGCACGGACCACGCCTCTGCCACGGTAATCGTCCTCATCATCTTATTCATATCTTTATTTATTAACTGTATTTAAACCGATTGCTGACATCTTCAGCTTATTCGTTTTCTTTTTTTAATGCAAACCGCTGAAATCGGAGATACGCGGGCATTTCTTTCAGGTGGTGCGCGTCGGGATCTCGGCACGCTATTTACTCTTTCCCTCACACCTTTTTTCTCCCTCCCTCCCTCCCTCCCCCCCCAAGATGTGAACGAGTGTGAGAGCGACTCGCATCTGTGCACTGACGGACAGACGTGCGTGAACATCCACGGCTCACATAAGTGTGTGGACACCAACCGCTGCCGGGACCCTTATGTGCAGGTGTCTGACAAGTGAGTCGTGTTTGCAAACACACCGCTGTGCCCATGCCAAGCATAATGCTTTAACCTGTAGAGAAGCGTCAGGCCTAACAAACAACAGCCATAGAGCCACAGGCTTAGGCAACATAATTACATGGAGTGGAATGAATGCAGATGTCGATGTTATTTGACTCTGACCTGCACATTGTCAAAGTCTTCACCATCTGTGAGTGCATTCCTAATGTCATTATCAAATCGCATTGTTTCCTGTTTGCCAATCCTTCACCATATTACACACTTCCCTCAACTGACTGTGTTCCAAAGTTTGTCCAAAGTTGTTGGAGTGTTAAATTGGGAGCAGGTGCTGGGAGTGAGGTCAATTTCAGTCATGACATTTTCTTTGCCTCCTTGGGTCAGATATTTTGAGAATTTAGCCACATGTGTTATCAATTTAGCTTTTTTTTTCCTCTTGTATTGACTGGAGACGTCTGGCTTGGCATGGAGCCCTTCAGTATTCCCGTGGGTTATTCAACATAATGACGGAGGGTGACACTAACCTCACCCCCGCCCGCCTGCCCGCCCACCCCCGGCACCTGCCAGCCTCGGCCAGCCGTCCGTTGCGATTGGCCGGCGGTGCCAGGATGTGTAATCGTGGTGGCACGCGTGACAAAGTGCTGCAGCTCGTAGTGGGCGGGGCTGTGAACAAGCCGCTGGTCAAGTTACCGTGACTCAACCGTGTTCACCAGTCAGACTCAGTACTTTGGCATGCTTGATTTGTCCAAAACGTCGATTAAAACTGCACCTGTCATGGGGCTTCGGGTTTCACTTTCCTCTGCTCTAAATTAACTGAAGCCTTCAATACCAGTTAAAAGTCTGGATATACCTGCTTTTAATCCATTTCCTTGTATTTTAGTGACATTATTCATGTTATAGTGAAAGACCTCAAGGCAATGAAGTAATACATATCAAATACTGCAATGACCAAGAGAAGTGTTCAACATCTTAAGATGTTCTCAAATTTTAGCCTCTTAAAGTAGCCCACTTTTGCTTCGATGACGGCATTGCTGACCCTTGACCTTCTTTAAACCAGTTTCCTGTTGTAGCCACCTGGAATACTTCTCCAACAGTCCTGAAGGAGATTCCACAAGTTCAAGGCACAAGTTTGCTACTTTGCTCTTACACTTCGATCCTACGCATCCCAAACCAGCTCTGTAGGGTTTAGGTCAGGGGTCAAGTCTCTTGTAACCTCAAGGTGTGCTTGGGGTCGTTTAGTTGGTGTATCTGGACCATTATGTATGTCTTACTTCTGTAAGGGTTTTAACACGACTCTCTCCGTTCCCTGCCCCCGGTCAGCCGCTGCGTTTGCCCCGTAACTAAACCCGCTTGCCGCGACGTGCCTTTCTCCATCGTGCATCGCTACATGAGCATCACATCCGAGCGTGCCATCCCCTCAGACGTCTTCCAGATCCAAGCCACCAGCGTCCACCCAAGGGCCTACAATACCTTTCGCATCCGCTCTGGGGACGACAACGGCGACTTTTACATCAGGGTTAGTGGCATGGCTGACCTGCTTCTGGCTGCTTCTATACCCCCCTGGTCTAGGGTGACCACCGAATCCATGTCAGGACACTATGAGCTACTTCAGGTTTTACAGACTACTTTAAAACTCAAAGGCCCCCATGCTTGGCTAAATTGTTTTGTTCATCTTGTACTTTTACTGGTTGGTTTCCTAGATCGAAGTATCCAGCTGTTTCACATTAACATTAGTGACATGTGCATGACTAAAGGAGACTGACCAATCAGAATTGAGCAGGAACTCAGTGCTTAAGTGAAACATGGATCCTTTTAATTTTAATCATTGAAATGGTAGTTTACAAACCCTGTCGTAGCTCATAGTGTCCATCCTGACATGGATTAGGTGGTCACCCTGCCTCAGTCCTGTAAGCTTAGACACTAGTAGACTCTCTGTGTTAGATTCACATCAGAATCATCAGCTTAAACTTGCCCCCCATTAAGGGCTTTGGTTAAACCTAAACCCACATATACTCTAACCTGCCACTGCCAGACTTGTAAATTGTCAGTGCCTTCACTTGTCCAGTAATGGTTCTTGTTTTGTCCATGACTGTTTCTTTCTTGCAGCAAATTAACAACATGAATGCCATGCTGGTCCTGGCCCGTGCTGTGACCGGACCCGATGAGTACGTTCTGGACCTAGAGATGGTGTCCGTCAACCGCGTCATGAGCTACCAGAGCAGCTCCGTCCTACGTCTGTCCATCTACGTGGGACCGTACGCTTTCTAGGGAAGGAGTGACCAGCAGAGAATAAGGGAGTGAGAGACCGAGGCAGAAAGGATAGAGTGGAGAGATAGTGAGAGGGAGGGAAGGATAAGAGGGATAGAGATCAGGGGAATGTTGGGGTGGCCAACAAGGAATGGAAGGAGAGAGAAACTCAGATCCACGTTCACCCACATTCAGGCCTTTGTCAGCTGGTCCTGTCTGGATTTAGTCAAAACCAGTGTGATGATATCAAAGAGTAACTAATGTCAGGCAAATCTCCAGTAGGGACCAACCATGCAACCATTACGTCACATGGCAGACAAGGATGGGTTTAGTGATTGGCGGCAACAAATTTGTGAGCGTGTGGCGCCTCCTGAATAGGACGAGCGTCTGACTGTGGAGGCCTTCCAAGGCCAAACCCTGGTTTTTCTTCAGAGAAGTGAAACATGCCCTGTACCAGTGCTTTGGGAAATTGAGATGAGAATAAAGATGAAGATATTTAAAATATGTAAAGACACTAATAATAGCAGTGCTCATGCGATCCCGGCCAGTCCAGCCTGATACCACACTTAATTACCAGCCCCAGTTCAGGAAAGGGCATTTAATAATGCAGTTTTACGGCATTGTCTCAGTGTCACAGTGAGGTTCCGCGATGGCTGCATACGCCCATGCAGTCTCGTACAATCGGACTCCTCCCTTCTGAGCCTTCAGACTGGCTGGCTATGCTTTATAGTCTCCCCTCTCTCCGCCGTTACTCCCCCCCCCCCCCCCCCCCCCACCAGTCCAAGTTGCCGTGAGCTCTGAGGCACCCCCCCCCCACCCCCCGTCAGAACAGGCTTCTGTCACCAGCTTCCAGTCACCCAGCCAGGCCAGCTGCACCCATCTGTCATTCATTGCCAGCACTCACAGTCGCTGACCAGCCTTCCCGCTCGTCTGGAGACTGCAGACCCCCACCATCACGCACAGCCTTACAAGCGAAGGGGTCCAGCAGCAGTAACCGCCAAAGGATTATGGATCAGTGGGTTATAAGGGGGAGGGCGTCATTCTCAGTTCTGCCGTCATTCCTACACCGCCGGCAGCCCCATTCCCGTCTCCCTGCTCTTTATCCCATTCGCTGAGCCAGTCCCAAACTCATGTAATATTTACTCTCATCTACATATTTAATAACCACTCCCACTCTGCCCCCGCTTCCTGTCCCACTCCCGTGTTCCCGCCTTATGCCTTAGTTATCCTTCAAACCTTCCTTAACATTTTTAGTTTTGATGTATTATGGAAAATATTGTACTTTTTTTTTTTGTTCAGAAAATAATACGTAAATAAAAGGAAATAAGGTTAAAATCATGCATAATGCCTTTGCTTTTACTGTCTCGCCTTGCCAGCCTTTGTTCATTTTTTTGTCTTCTTTTTCCTTTATCCATCCTTTTCTTATTTCTGTTCTCCCCCTCTGTTCTTTCCTCCCTCTTCTCTGCTCAGGTGCCCACTTAATTCCTCCACCCACTCACTCCCCACCCATTCGCTTGCTCTCTCTGCTTCTAAAAATAGCTCCAGAGCCCCTTCCCCTCTCCATCACCCCCCCACCCCCAGTTTGTTCCTGAAACACCGTGTTCCCCTCTGCAGCTGAAGATGATGGCTCCTCGAAAGGAACAACGGCAGAATGAATAAGGACATGCGCAGAGAGAGGCGCACACAGCGACCAGCTAACGTGGCCAGTGTTCACCTTGGCAACCAACCTTGACATGCGAAAGAAAGGGGGATTTGAATGAGGAGATCGACAATGTACCAGTAAAGAATTAGAAGAAAAGAAACTATCAATTGTATAGTGAAGTGTGTGCTAAAATTGTAGCGGGTTTAGAACCCCCTCGCCAAAAAATAGGGAAAAATCGTAACCTCATTGTCTTTTTTACCCTGCCTGGCTTGACTCAAGGTTGATGAGTCACTCACTCATCCTTACGTAAGTGAGAGTGACTGCAGTACCACTAAATGTCCACACGAGGGCAATATCATATACAAAAGCAGAAGGGACATTCAGATAAAAATACTTACAACCCAGTGTAACTACTATTTCTAATCCAATTTACCACCGAGGCCAGTAATTCTCTCTCTATTTGACTGTACTTAAAGTGTCATACTTTTTCTGGGACAACAGGGATGAAATTAAGTACCAGCGTGGATCAACGAGTAACACTGTTGCTTCAGACCTGGAGGGTCTGCTCTTTGCTCCTTGTTTGTGTGTAGTTTGTGAGTTCTAGCCCTGCTGTGCTAATTTCCTTCCATAGGCCAAAGACACACAGTTCGGTTAATTGGTATCTAAAAATAAGCCATAGTGTGTATACATACTTGATTCTGTAATCCATCCATCCATTTTCCAACCCGCTTATCCTTCTGGGTCATTGGGGGTCCGGAGCCTATCTCAGGGGTCTGGAGCTATGGGCACAAGACGGGGAACAACCCAGGATGGGGGGCCAGCCCATCGCAGTGATTCTGTAATAGACTGGCATAATAATAATAACAACTTATTGATCCCCAAAGGAAAACTTTCTTCTTGCCTACCACATCTTGCTCTCCATGGGAAATATACTGTATAAGGGAGTGCAAGCTTGGCAGTGAAGGGCAGCCACCTGTAGCTGCACCCATGGAGTCAGGGGTAAGGGCTCACAGATACGACTATTCTGTCAAGGATGGGTTCAAACCAACAACCTTCTAATCACAAGGATAGAGGCTTAGCCTACTGAGCCACACACTGCCCTCTGATGTCTGGGGGAGGCTCCAGGCCCACATGCAACCCAGACCAGGATAAATGGTTGAAAGACGGATACAAATCGCATAACATATATACATATATATGCAAAAGTAGCGGACAGAACTAACGTGTCACCGTTGACAGCTAATTTAATTTTAGTTGGGGATGTGGCACACAGTAGGTCACATGTGTGATGCTGTCTGTTCTTATGACAAACGCTCGATCTAGCTTTCGACATTGGCCGCGGCGTCACCCTGCACGGACACACAGAGGCAGACGAGTCACCTCAGTCCCTGACGCTCAGCCCACAGATTGCCCCGCGCGTCTCCATCGCGGCCGCGTTGGCGGGGTCCGGACGCAGGGAAGGGCGAGCGGCGCCTCAAGCTGTGAGGGCAGGATGGGCCACGGGCGTCACGCGTAGGTGTCGCTGGATCTCCGCGGGGTCCCAACTGGGGGTTTTTCCTGTTTTCCGGCTGCAAGGGATGACTAAACAAGTGGCTAGGAGCACTGCGCTCCACCCTGTGGGCACAGCAGTCTGTAGTGTGTGGGTATAACGGGGAAAGACGGCCAGGTATGACCTCATTAGCGGGTGAGTCTTGCTCAACGTCCCGGGAAGGGCCAACAGAACAGCGATCCCAACATTACCCAATGAGTACGTCAAAGGACCGTAACAGTTGTTATGTTTACAGTGTCATCAGTTGGCTTCCCTATCCACAGCACCGAGGGTTAGACTCCTTGGGTGGTATGGCGTAGATGATGGATTAAACACAGAGCACTTCATCTGTTAGAACTTTTTAAACAAGCTACCTTCAGCTGTCCTAACACTCACGTCCCAGTCTCCCACATCACGCCCTGCCTTACGCCATTCAGTGTCCGTAAGGGTTCCCTCACAAAGCTGAGTAGCTATCTGAACACTAAAATGATCTTAACTGATGCATAAGTGACATTATGAAACATCTTCAATACTTTGCTTACAGTAGGGCTACCATATCTGGTGAGATGAAAAAGAGGACATGTCCGGGGATCTGAATATTAATCATTTTCATGTTCACTGACCAATCAGGTAGTGCTTCTCTTATGAATATTACTGGTGAACCTCCCAGTAAGACAAAAATTCACATCCGGGGAAACTTGGACATATGGCGACCCTCGTTTACAGCATCACGGAAGGCAGAAGGGCTTATATTTGCGGCTGATGGCTTTGATAGGAATACTGCAGCAGCCAGTTCTACAGCCAGGACTTTACTGATGCTACAGGGCTTAAACCCAAGCATTTAAACAACAGAACAGTTCTGATTAAGAAACGTGCTGTTTAATCCTTATGTCAGACTTCTGCTGTAGAGTAGGTGATATATGAGACCCCCCCCCCCCCCTAACCAGGGGCGTCGGAGGGGCATAACTACCCTGGCAGATTCAGGGCGCCCAGCACTTCATAGAGGGTCTAAATTCAAACATGCCTCCCAAATCCACTCCTCCCTCGGCAAAACCTACATGGGGAGACCCAAAGTGACATTTTACCAGGGTACCCACAATTCCTAGCAGTGACTATTCAGGAGAAAGTGCTCTTGGAATGGCGGAAAAGGTGGGCTTGGCTCAAGGGGTTTACCCATTACGGCCTAAGACTGCTCCAGATGCACATTGTGATGTATTTTATTAAATGTGCCCTTGTGTGGGAAGGAGGCCCCAGGTGTGAAAAGCCTGACAAACGGTTTATAGCAGCCTACTCATGCAGGATGCTAATTCCATTCCAGCGCTGTCCCCCAGCACAATGCTACACTTCACGTCTAGCTGCATAGCTATGTCCCAATGTCCTGTCACGAAACCATCACCGTGTTTACTGTAATAGTCATGGGTATTTTTGTATTTCCTGAGGGGGGGAGGATGTGAATCCGCTGGTTCAGGTAAAGCGGTGCTTCATTCCACCCCCTCCTTTGGCTGTCAGGATGAGACCATTCATAAAAAGTGCGATGGAACTGATGAATGAAATAACATTGTGTGTCCTATCAGACATGGTGAGCATGTGATATAATGCGATGTTATATGGAACAGACAGGGATAGGTACATTGCAACATGTGTGTAAATAACATAATCAATATTTAATTTTATGAAGCAATTGTGTCTGTTTTGTTTTCCACAATGCAATAAAAACCTGTTATTTTGACTTAATGGGGACTATTTTTTTGGGCGCCCAGGAGGGGAAACTGAATTTTATGAAAATCTGACACTGCAATCAAAAAACTAAAAATGTCAAAAGTCTTGTATTTTGTTTGGTTACTTATGTTTAAGGTTGTCATAGTTAGGATTAGAGTTTTTCCAATAAAAATGAATGGACGATCCTCACAAAGATATGAATAAGAAAAGGTCAATCAAAGGTCTGGACACACCTGCTTTTAACGCATTTGTCTCTATTTTATCTATGTTGACTCTTCGAATAGCCCTGTTTTTGCCTTGACGACAACATTGCAGACTTGGCATTCTTTCAACCAGCTTCCAGACGTAAACACCTGCTTCTCCAACAGTCCTGAAGAAGTTTCCACAAGCTCTGGGCAATCCGAGTTGGCTACCTTGCTCTTACTCTTCAGTTCAACTCATCCCAACCCAAAGCATCTCGATGTGGTTTCGGTGGGGGGGATTGTGGGGGCCTGGTCATCTGTAACCTCCAGGTGCACTTAGGGTCCTTATCTTGTTGAAAAACAAATGATTTTCAGTAGGTGTGTCTGGACTTTTGTCTGGTGCTCTTTGTAGGAAAATAGGAGATGGATTACTTATCTCTATATATTATTTGTAGGAATGACTTTTAATTTCCTCCAAAGTCATACTTAATAGACCATAATCAGACCAGAAACTGCAAGCCATACTGAATATGAACAATTCAGTATAAAAGATGCACCAAAGAATACAAATGTCGAAATGTTTTATATTTATGGATAAGGTATATTTATAAATTATGAGTATATGTGTAGGTGTCCACTTTATTAATCAGTTGCTACTGCCACCTGGTTGTCATTCTTTCTTACTGTTCTCCACTCTCGTCAATCCTAGCGCTTTATATAAGCCTTCAGGCCTGTGGTCAGAGGAAATACCAAATATTATGCTATAAATCACCTTTTCTATGGGATCCACAGATCCCCAGGTCATCTTGGTCTTATAGTCCATTTTTTTGGCATAGTGGGTAACCCAATGATGTGGGGCAGTTATCATTCTAGTTAAGTCGAGTCTGGCAGATGCATCGACGTGACGTCAACATGTTTCACTGCACCAACTCTTCAAGTTACACTTTTACTATAATGCAAGACAAACAGAGACTTAGCTCTCACCCATATATGTGCATGAGAGCATGATGCGAAAACAGAATAATTCTTTTGTACCTGTCCTTATGGTTGTGTGAAAGGTACACCATTTTCAACACTCAACACAGAATTTTGGATAGAACATTGAAAGAATAATATCAAAATTTGTTAAACTGACCTGGTAGTAAAAGGTTTTGACCAAATGAACTAGCCCACTAATTCAAGAGGTAATTTTGATTGATTAAAGAAATAGTGCACCAGTAAAATATACTGCACTGTGGTTATATAGACAGAAATTTCCAGTAAATACTCTCCTGCATTTCACACATAACATTGCTAGAGCTAAGCACTCTCACAGTGCTTCAGTGCCTTAGCAACAGGATTTTAATAAGCCTGCCATTACTTTCAAAGGTGAATTTTTAGCATCCGTCTACTCTGGCTACCTGTCTCACCTCCCCATAGAGAAAAAGGTTTTGTAACTGATTTTTTCCCCCAGCTCCCTCTCTCTAATGAAATGAATGTCGCTAATTCTATAGCCATACCTCCTTGTTGTAGTTGAAAAGCAGATCTGTCCCCACCTGCTTTTGCCTCCGTGCGTAAATATGGTTACTAAGATACGGCAGCGTTGTTGCTATGGACGTGTGGGTGTAGTGAAGAGAGGGGCCTGAGCTGAAAGAATGTTCCCGCCAACAGAGAGGGCAGAAAGAAAGGAACATTTTTAGTAAAAACTGGGTGACGTGCTTTCTAAACACTATATGAATCTTAGGGCATGTTTGTTTCTTCACAGCAAATAATGCACAGCTTAATAAAATGTCAAAGATACAAATTTGTCATATAAATAAATTCAAAGATACAGATTTATTATTATATATTTGTTATATAATAATAAATCTTTACTACAATATGCCAATGTAGCACAGGAAAGACAAAACACGGACCTTTTTAAAGGAGAAAATTGCTGCTTCAAGTCCTGAAGAATTTCTCATGTACCCGCTGCCATTAAGCAAAAAAAAAATGTTAGAAATTGGTCACATGTAAAATACACCTGACATTTAAGATGTTTTATTTTGAGTGATATTTGGGAGAAGGTAATTCACCCTGTTTCAGTAGCAAGTTGATAATACTAATTTTCACTTATTAATGTGAGCTGATAGGGATAAAGCTTTTATTGAATAATGCGATTTGAATCTTTGCATATCATGATTTCTGCATATCTTTGGGCAGTTACATCTACGTTATGGTGGTATAATATGGCAATGATGCAGTCATCACAGGACCAATAAAACCTTTCCCATCTCACTCAGCTGCTATTGGCCCTAACCAGACAATTGGGAATAAAGCAAATAATTAAACCATCTGAAACTGCAGACAAATATTGATCACTGGGGATTGAACTCGACTTATATTAATTTGTAAACAATTGGATATTGCACAACTCTGGTTTAGAGGGTGGGGTTGTGTTTGGCTCATTAGAAAGTGGGCTCATTAACACTAGGCCTTTCTGCTCCAGAAGTCCACCGTTATCATGCACATTTCTGATATAATACAATAAATTTCCCCCAGAATACATCACTGAAATCTGCCAAGTGAGAAAGCTCAACTTCAACACCCACCAACCCCAAACTCTCAACAGATGGAAACATTACTTGCATCCAGAATCCTGTCCCAAAGGGATCTCCCAGGGATGCAGTGAGCTCCCTTGAAACTTGGCAGCAAGGCATCGTGGGAAGTTTGTGATGTTAGGCAGAACACTGCGTGTGTGGGGGAGAATATTGGACTAATATATTACTGCAGTCTAGAGGCAGTTTAATAATATATAACATGATGGGACTGACCATCAATATGTCACAAATCTGACACAAAAAAATATTAAGATAATGTGTTTTTGTCCACCTACCCATCACACTGTCCAGTACAAGATCATGCGATCTCATGCTTATCCCAGGAATCACAGGGCAGAGGAGAACCCTGGATGGGATGTCCACCTATCACATGTATGTTTTGTAAAAAGCTGATGAAGTGGAAACATTTTCAAATACTGTGTAAATAAATACTGCATTTCATCACTGTCTATTTAGTACTAACTCGGTTTTAAAAATGTTTTGTAAAAAGCTGATGAAGTGGAAACACTTTCAAATACTATGCAAATAAATACTGCATTTCATCACTGTCTATTTAGTACTAACTCAGTTTTAAAAATGTCAAAAAGTTATAATAAATTCCAGCCCTCTAACATAAATTTGCTTCATGTCATGTACCTTAGTAAAATCATTTGCACTGTGACTTTATACCAGACAAAACGGCAGCAAATGTCCATGATGATGAGGAGCTCATGACTGACTCTCTGCACTGGTTACAGCATTGAAGGTGTGGGAGTAGTTTGGCTCAGAGTGTTACGAGTTTTACACTTTCTAACTGTGTTCTGAGAAATGAGTCAAAGGAATTGTAAATCTGTAAACTAAATTCATTCTGGCCACTTAGTCATGCGACCTGTGTAGAAGATACACTTGGTAAGGAACTGTTGATTTCATCTGTCCTATTTACACTTTTAGGCTATTATGAACATTTCAAGATCTCATGATGAAACTGCAGTTATGAATTAAATTGGCTTTATAATGTAGATTTTGGCTGCTTTATCTTTCCAGCATTTGTTGCTTGCACTTTGAACGTCCATTTTAAGACATAGCCCTGGGGTATGTCATCCATCAATCTTCAGATGCATGCAAAAATAGCCACTTGTAATTTGCAGAATTTGCATCTGTCCAGGGACTAAACATCTCTTGAAAAAGACATGAAACTGCAAGTCACATAATTCCAGTTCCGGAATTAATATCAAATAAGGAACACATCTAAAACTCTTCTGAAATGACCATTTTTTTTTACAATGCATTCACGTATGCCAGGAAAATATTACGGAAAGCAGTGTCAACCAGCTGAGCTAGCTTTGATTTTAGGTCACCAAATATTAGTCCTTTAACAGAAAACCTTGCTCAAACAACTTGTAAAATGCACTGTAACACTTTACTTGAAAGGCCACAAATACATTCTGTAATGATTATGCCCTTTAATTAATATGTTTACAATTAAAGATATAAATACAAGGGTTGACAACAGCACGGAAACACCACATGGAAAAGGGCTTCGAATTTGAGCTGAATCACAATTTAAAAACACAGCTACAACAGTGACTCATATGAGCTTGAATGTCCATTAGCCGTTTTTGGAAGCTATAAAAAGAGGTCTGACAACCGAGAGCTTGATATGTGAGCTTTAAAAGCCATATGAGGCAACTAACAGGATTCCAAAGGGGCTAGAGTGTCTGTCTGAATTACAGGTGCATTGTTCAAAAACTGCTAAATTATTTTACATTTAAGCGGAGCAATCTCAAAAATCTTGGGGGCATACGTAGAACATAGACGTGATCAGCAAAGAGGAGCATGGGACTCTAGTAGGGTGACCACCGGAGTGACTCTGAAAAGGAGAACATGTGTCCAAAAAAGAGGATCAAGGCTCAAAAAGAAGGACACCCATGAGTTGTTGTTGAGCTACATACTACAGAAGCCAAGAATTGTCTTGTTATGTCAATAACGGCATAAAATAATTAATTCCGTTCATGGCTGTTTTCGGTATCAGTAGCATGTGTGTGTGGGTGTTCCACGTTTTGTGTGTTACTGGGGGGTAGGAGACTGGCGCTAGTTGTTGACAGGGAGGTGGGTAGGTGGGAGGGATAAGGTGGACAAAGGGGCAAAGAGGAGGACCCCCCAACAGCAGACCAGACAGAGGGCTGGAAAACCAGACTGTCTGGATGAAATTCAGATGAGTGGTCACTCAAGTCGTAAGTGAAAGCTCGGTGAAGGAGACAGATGGATACTTAACGGGATAGTTACTAAACATCACAAGTACAATCTCAAACATCAGACTGAATCAGTGCTTCTGTGACCCAGGCTCAAAAAGACTTTGCATGGTGTGAGCTTCATAAAACTGGTGTTTATGGCAGGACTGCTATTAGGAAACTGCTTGGATCCATAGCTAATGCATGAATACCACAACGTGAGGTAAGGAGCACAAAACCTGGATCTCTCAGCAATGCAGACACACATATGGATGGGTTTCGGTTTGGAGAAAAGCCAAAGAATGCATTCAACCTTGACGTGTTTCAGTGTGCGCAGCCGTTTCATGGGAGTTATTTGGTCTGATGTCAGGTCATACAATGACCAAGCAATATGAGGGCATTTGACAGAAACAGTTGCACCCTATGGCACAAACACTGACTTCTTATGATGTTCCCACATTTCAAGATGATAATGCCCCCATGTATACTGCTAAAGAAATTCAGCAATGGTTCATGAACTCTAAAAGTAAGTCAAATGTCTTCCATAGTTTTCTCACTTTTATGGAGCGCTGTGGAGCACAGGATGTGAAGTACATTTCTACATTTTGCATCTTTCAAAGTACAGGAGGCTTTTCTTGTTGAAGAATGGTCTAATATCCCAAGTTTAGGACTTAAACAACAGCATTCCAACAATTATTGAAGCTTCTTATTAGCTTCATATTAATTTATTGTTAGACATTTGCACCATTCTGTCTCCCCCTTGTGTAAATAAAATTATGTTATATTCTCAGCCGTTTCCCTGCCTTTTACTCTGTTCTTTGAGTAGGATTCTAGCTTTGGGTGTAGCTGCGATGGCCGAGCGGTTAAGGCGTTGGGCTTGAAATCCAATGGGGGTTTCCCCACGCAGGTTCGAACCCTGCTCGCAGCGGTATGCAGAGGTCCGGGGGTGGTGTGTACCTTAGTGCATTAATCCTGTGACTGGAAAGGTGCCAGCTTGGATCCTGTCCTCTGCTTTGTAATCATATTCCTGTTGGGCCCTTGAGTAAGTTTTGCTCACAGATGTACGCTTCAAAGGAGAGAAGGTGGAATATTAAAGCTCTTATCCCCAACTTATGGATTTATACAAGCCATCAGAGCCACAACATTCATAACATCTTTGAGTAGGTAAAAAATAACTGTGTAAGTAAATCATACTTCTCAATTCTCTGGTATTAAGTGGCTTCTACTCTGCTAATGCGTCATATTGAAATCATATAAAGCACAACTTCTTCAGACCAAATATCTTTGCCGAATACAATGCGAAAACTCATCTGTTTAAGGACATTTAACAGCACCCACTATAGTTCCTGAGCTCCAAATTCTGACTGGCACACAGTTACTCACTTATTACTCACTTATTACTTAGATGTAGTAACTGGTCAGTAAGAATTAGTCAACTCACCATGGCTAAGAACTATGCCTGGAAGCCATAGCTAAGTCCAAGCTGTGTGAGAAAAACAAAAGAAAAGACAAAGAATTAGTAACATTAACAAGACAACACAAGTTATTGTAGGTATTAAATCATAATGCAATAAATTAACAACAATAAAAACATAGCTAGCCCAAAAATGACTAAAAATCCCTCTAATATAAGTAAATTTGACTAACATTACCTACCCTGGGTAGGTTGGTGCCTCACTCCAGCTTCAATGAGGATCAGATCCCAGCCACTAACTCCATGTGGAGTTTCCAACATCTCCCCATGTTCATGTGGCTTTTCGCCTGGAATCTAAAGACAGGAAGTTCAGAAGTGCTTCTTGAACATGTAGTGGATTATATAGTGAGAAAGTGGATGTGGAAAACGGATGGATGGGTTACCTCTCTGTCACTCAGCATTTAGAATTTAGAATTTAGAATTAAGTCATCAGTGGTCATTGTCAACACACCACAGCACACAGTGCGCAACAACGAAATGTGACCTCTGCATTTGACCCATATGTGACTTTTGTGACATAGCAGGGGGCAGCTAATTCAGCGCCCAGGGAGCAGTGCTTGGGGGCGGTACCTTGCTCAGGGTACCTCAGTGGTGACTTGCTGGTGGGGGATTTGAAATACATTTAACCTATCAATTACATGCTGGAGGCCCAAAGAACATTCCAAACAAACATTCCTAGCTGGCCAAAGTATAGCAGACTCAACTAGTCAAAGTAATGACCATTTGGTGGCCTTGGAATCTAGACTTCTGTTGAGTCTAGTTTCATATCGCATTTGCTTCATGTTCCTCTCCATATTCCTCCTCTCGCTGCCAGGCTCCCATTGAACTCTCCAGACTATCTCCACCTTGCTGTAATCACTACAGGAGCTCATCACTTTCTGAGGGATTGCAGACGACCTCCATTCTGCTATAGCTCTGTTGCCAATGGTACAAGGCTCTTAGTCAAGTAATGATTGCAATTTGGAGTTCTTGAAAAAAGGGAGCAACAGAGAAAAGCAAACAAAATTAACCGAAGAAAGGGAGCAATATTTTGGAAAAAAGAGGGTGGGAAAGAGAAAAGCAAAGACAATAATATCACCTCCAGCCTGGAGCTAAAATAAGGGCAACTCTAGTACGGTTCCACCCTCACCCTCACTGCGTCTCGTACACGTTACCACTCCTCACCTTCCTCTGCCCACTCTCGCTCCCCCTCTACCACTTACACAACATTCTAATAAGCCTGTGATAGTCCTTGGTCTTTTTCATTGATTCGTTCTGTCCATCTCACTTCATTATCTAACAGTTCCTCTGAAGCGCACAAAATTTGAGAAAGGCGTGTATATGATTCCGAAATGCACGGAAGCATACATGCTCACACTGAAACACACCGACCCTTCTATTGTTATTACTGCAGTACATGCATAACATGATCATAAACATAATACATCCATCAATTAACGCATGCAGCCATTCATAGATTTTTGATAAATGCTTATTTAATTGCAAATGAGTATAAATCTATTCTGCAACATAATCATTTCTGCAACATGATGAGGTATGATTTTCTTATGTCATATGTTAAAAAAAAGTTTGCTTTATATGAATAAAATGTTTGATGGTGGGAGAAGGAAGAGATTAAATATTAAATAGTTATTTGCTAGGCAGGTATATAATATGATACTCTGTGGGTTTCTATCGCAAGCTGGTGTAATTAACAGAAATTAATGAAATAAAAATTGGGTAATAAGCTTTCTAAATATATATTTCTGTTTTTGAGATGGACATTTTTCATGGTACTGAGCCTCTGGCCATGAAACACACTTAAAAAGACTAAAAGAAGGAAAGAGTAAGACTAAAGCAGGAGAAAAAAACTGCTAAGACTTTTCTAATGATGTCATACAACTACATCATATCACCATGGCAACCCCGCATCAGCACCAAGTTACTGAGAGGATAACAGAAAAAGAGAATTTGAGGTGAGGAGTAGAGTGAGGAAGGAGAGAGAGAAAATGCTCTGGTTTTAGGGTACATGCAGTACTATAAGCTTGCTTCCAAATAATTTTTTAAAATAAACTCTATAATCATGTTAAATGCATTCTTGAAATATGTCAGTGACAAATATGTCAGGAACATTGCTCACTTTCATACATGTCAGGTTTATGCCTTCAGTTACTCACTTCTCCATCACAATATCTAACAGTGCTTTCTAAAGCTTGCTATTTTTAGCACTAAACTAAACATCACAAGTACATCCTCGTGATTAATGCACAGGCAATGTCACTGAAGTGATGCAGGCAATGTTGTCCAGCATTTTACCTTTTTTTTAAGCTCTGCATTGTAAATTGAATTATATCTCTGTTTAATAGCAGTATGATGTGCATTTGCGCGGATATGTAAGATAAAAGCAGGACATATAATGAAAAAACATGAGGGGTAGCAGACACTTAACAACTGTTACTCCAAACACCACCCTGAAGTTCTAAAAATACACTGCATAAAAGAAAACAAAAAAAAAAGAAAGTACATGGCTACAAGCTTTGGAAACCTCACTGACAGAAGAAGGGAGGGAGAGAGGGAGGGGAGAAGTGGAGAAGGTTGGGTTGGGTTGGGTGGGTGTTCATGCGTAGGCGTTTGTTCAGCTCTCTCAAAACACTGGCTCTCTCTATGACCCTCGTTGCACACTGAGAACTCAAACGCACACTGCTGCATTACACACATGTATACACAAGCGCACACACATACTCACGCACTCACTGACTCACCTAAACATGTAAATTTGCCTTCTCACAGAAGTAAATAATATTATTCATATGAATTCCAGCAGATGTAGTCAATCCAAATCCCTTTCTTTCAGCTACATAACCTGTCTATATTTAAGAAATTCCCTCTTCATACTTGTCTTTTTCTATTTGCCCGAGTCAATGTCTTTACTTAGCTCTCCAGTCTCTCTCTCCTCTTCTTTTCGTACCTTTACATCTCTATACCTCTGCATTTCTCCTCCATTTCCCTCTTCCACGCTCCCTCTCTCCTGCTCTTCTCGCTCATTTTCTGGCGCAGTAGTGGGAGGTGTTGCTAGGCAACAGATTAGAACCTTTCTTTCAAGAAGCAGCGAGAAGACCTTGATTCTTTCAGTGTAAAAATAAACAGAAAAAAGAAAACGAGACTTGGGGAAAAATGGACAAGCATCCTTGAACTAATAGGGGAGGAGAGGTAGACGTTTTGTTTTGCTGAAATAAGAAAAAGTGTTTTGCAACTCTCTCAGTCTCTATCAGTCTCTTCTTCTCTTCCCATTCTTACACACTCTCTTTCTTTCAGGGCCTTAGTTTTATAATTTCCCTTTATAAGTTTATTTATGTAAAGTAATGCACAAATAACTGTTTTTCAGACACAAACTCCCTCAATTGATAATTACATTTCCTCATCAAATACAAGAGAATTCAAATTGCGACATAAAGTAAAGCTTTCTTTGTTTTCAAAGTTAGAATAAAAACATAATGTCTCTCCAACTTAAGCTTAAACTTTAAATAATGACATCTTTCAAATATAGCATTGTGTTTAAGGATTCTGAGGGATAGCTAGACAGTGATGCAGTGTTACTTTAATACTGAGTATAATTAATTGAAATCACTCAGGTTTACTGTTAAATCAGCATTGCTGCTCTGTGCTTTGTCATGTCCAAAAGTTGTACAGGAGATTTGTGTTTCATGGAAACCAAAATGCCACTTTGGAAAGTTGCTCAGCGTATTTGCTCAGAGGGATGATTATCATTAATCACAATAGAAATAGAATCCAACTGTTCTTACTTTACTATATTGTAATATTATATTTATCCGAAGCCGCAGTGAACATAATTCATTACACTGCACCTATAATATGCAGAGTACGAGGCCTGCAGTACATCAGCTGTTGTTTTTCTCATGCTCTTAAAGTCCATGTGCATTTTTGCTATGTCCTGCTACTATTTTGCATGCTATTAAGTCCGTCCATCCGTCCATCTGTCCGTCCATCCATCCATCCATCCATCTTCCAACCATTTATCCTGGTCAGGGTCTCAGGGACAGCTGCTATGTGAAAAAGATAAAAATTACCTTTCTAATTCTGGCCAGCTTCTGAAGACCTACACACATAGAATAAATTCATTTTATTGGCCAGAAACAAGCAGCATTTTAGGAACAACTGAACATACCTGTGACACTGAGCAATAAAACCCACCTGTGAGAACCTCAGCGCTCCCATAAATTAAGATCAAGGGGGGGGGGGGGGGGGGGGGGTTTGCTCGCCTCTGATCTGTTTACTTGCATCCAGCTCCATCCCCATTTTTAACAAGATACCCATCGATCGAGATCAGTGATAATAACGGCAATTTTTCCAAATAAAATTTAACAAGCCATAAAAAGGGAATTTTTACCTGGTGGGTAAAACAATGACTGCAAAGATAAAGCTTCACAGTTTAATTGCCAGAACATAAACATGCCGTTGCTAGCTGGAAAAATCTACAGTATTGACTGGTAGTATGCAGTGACAGGGTGACAGTATGCAGTGACAGGCCGACAGTATGCAGTGACAGTGTGGCTCATTAAAATAATTTAATGAACTGAAATGAATGCTTATGCATTTAGCATTGATTCTCCTATAGTCTAATAATTTAATTATTCCTAATTTGTTTGAATATGTGGGGTGGGTTGTGAATTTGTGTAAAAATGACGTGTAAGGACTTGTGTAAGGACTCATTGCGCTTGTTATTTTGGGTTGTTTACTTCGAATCATTTGCATTCACTTTCAGTAATTTACACATGTAAGGCAGCTGGTTGAGGAAACAGGCGTCTGTAAGTTGCCGCCAACCTGTGTTTTTGTGTGTGAATATGTGTCCAGCAGTAGCCAGGTACTCCATCCAGATTACACCCTGCCCTCTGCATTCTGGGATAGGTTCCAGGCTCATCACAACCTGAGACTGGAAGCAGTACAGCCAGTAATGGAAAGTGGGTGGATGAAAAAGACATTAGGCAGATCAGTCAATGACAGGTTTTCTATATGAACACCGCAAATTAAAATCAATCCCCCCCCCCCCTCCTGTTAATTATTTGGAAATTGTCTACATAAACTCTGGACAGGTTCTACTGTCATGTAGTACACCCAAGTTTCCACACAGCTCATCTCCGATTGATTAGACTGGAACATATTGTGCTATAGGACCCATGCTTGCTGCGATAGGTTATGGTTAGGTCTAGATTGAATAAGTGTGTTTTTATTGGATGGACTAACTGTTTAAGATATACGGATTAAGGTGAAAATGGCACTAAGTCCATCATGTTAATTGGGTAAATAGTCTTTAACATGAATCACATAAACGACAAACATCATTTTCAGATTACGTTGATATAATATATTGTGGCAACGTGTCAAAAACGTGGGAAAAAGTAACGAGTTGTCCTGATTTTGAACATACATGCAAGCAAAATGTGCACAATGTTGGCTGAAGATATGAATGTGTTCTCGAAAACAAGAAATGCTTCCTAAAAACAAGACTAGATCTACATGTAAGGTTTGCGCTTTTGTTAAATTTATGTTTAGAAAATCAGCACAGAAAATCACAATAGAACATCACCATTATCTGGTTTGAGACGTATATCACAAACAGTAGCTGCTACTCTGCACTACTATTAGTCAGCTCAGCTGATCACTGTAGACATTACATATTTGTGTAATTTTAGAAATGCGAATCATACGAATCGCGTTGATTAACGCACTTCATGCATTGAAGAAGCCTCGCCTGAATTCAATAGAAGGAACCCCAGTTATTACAAACTAATCATTTCGTAGGCACTTCCATTAATTACGACAGCAGATGCAATATCTGACGATCCAGAACAAAACATGTTTACTAGCAAACACGGTGATAAATATTATTTCCCGAATAGGAAGCGTAAATCTGTTACTCACAACATAACTGCATATAACAGTGCTAAAAATAGCATCTATCATGAGTACGTGTTCTTCGTCCGCCGCTCATAATTCGAATTCATTTGACAGGACCCTTTGTCTAGGGATACTTCTGCACATTTTACACCATTTGAGCATCCGAATCAGACAGTTCCGCTGTGTTTTACACCACAGTGCTGTACCGAGATAAGAATGAAATACAAACGAATCTGCTTCCTAAAGCGTCCTGGGTCATGAATCGAGGTCTGTTTGATCATTTGATTGTCAGTGAGCACGTTTGAGAGTGAAGTCAAACTCCGCTCTTATCGAGCTACATCCAGTAGCTCGGACAAGCTGCCGGCGGCACTGGGGCTTAATAGCTCTGCCTTAATAGGAAACCAACAAATGGGTCCAGATGGTATGTGTTTAATATCAAGGTTTCGTGGTTGATCCTTTAAAGGATACATTTTGTCTGTCAGATGTAAAATAATGAGAAAAACTGACAACGGTAAGACAAGTCGCAGGAAAGACATGGTTAAAATATCGCCGCCGTGTTCTATCAAAATCTGTCTGCTTTGCCTTATAAGGAAATGGTGGGTTATGTAAAAGATGCAGCTCACTTAAACATTTCTTGATTAAGTATAAAACACCCCCACCTTGCTTGTGATTAGGAATCGTATAGGTTGTCTCTAAGATTTGCTTAAACCTGCATGTATGTATCTGGAGATATTTGCATTGTAAGAAACAATATGAGAAAAGACAGGTAGTTCTATCTTGTTATAACAAACACTCATTTATCCATCTGACCAATCGGACGACTCTTGTAAATAATTTTACACGAGAAAAAGATTTTCGTCCTTTGTAAAAACACAATCAAACTACAGCCTAACCCTTTCGGAAAACAGAATAAAAACGACACTGCATGAAACAAAGCATACCGGTAATTGCAGGTATAGCAAATAGGCCTTTCACTTATTAATTATCAATTATCAATATGTCAGTCACCAATTAAACACTTAATAACTGTGTCATTTTGTGTTTCCAAACTGGGATATATAATATATCCTAGGAAACTGTAAGAAAAGGGACGCAACGAAAGGGAAAATCATAGCAATGAAATAGGTTAGCAATGATAAGCAAGAGATAGGTGTCTCTTTCGTATGTGTTTCAGCTTCAGCCCGGTGATGCTGAGCGCACCCCTCCTCCCGCTGCTTACACTCGGGGGCCCGGTGACTCCGGCTCCCTGTATCTCCGCCCCTCTCTCAGTTTTGTCCAAATCTGGCTTTTTGCGTCGCCGGAGCTCCCGATATTACGCCGACGTCATCACCTGGGAGAGAGGACAGCTGACGTCGGAAGAGTCACAGAGAGAGGGGGATCAAGAGAGGAGGGGGTGCAGGGAGAGAGATAGAGCGAGAGAGAGAGAGATGCAACATTACTAACGTTGATGTGTGACATATCAATCCCCCACTCGCCCCCCCTCCTTCTATTACGTTGGTGCTAGCGTATCGGGAGCCCCCCTATGCCGGCGGAGACCCAGCCTATATAACTTACCGGCGTGCAGAGCCACTCCACCAGATACACGGGCTCCCGACATCTGGGCGAGAGACGGCGACTTGTCGCCGACTGACTCACACGCCGATCCGGGGGAGAGATACATCAATCTGCGGCGCCTGGCCGACCGAGTCGGGCGCGGTGGCGGAATCGAATAACTCCACGTCGGGTCGGAGAAGATTTTAAGAAAAGACAGAGAGACCAAATTCGGGAAAATAGCAAATATAAATCTGAAACCCCAAAAAACAACAAACTGATATTAATATTAACGTCAGTGATTATTCCTGCGTGTCCGGCAGAAATACGCCAAAAGAGAGCAAGAGAGACCGAACGCACTTCAAAATATCACCATTGCGGTCAAGGCAACTTAGACGCAACTAATCTCTGGCTACTCCGAGTGCAATGTATAGGTCCACGAAAGGAGCGTCCAAGGCTCGAAGGGACCAGATCAATGCCGAGATTCGGAACCTCAAGGAGCTTCTGCCGATATCCGATGCGGACAAAGCCAGACTCTCTTATCTACACATAATGTCGCTTGCCTGCATGTACACCAGAAAGTCGGTCTTCTTCTCGAAAGGTAAAAGAAGCCATAGAAATTAAATTGAAACGCATGCTTTGCCGCGTCCCCTATATGGCCGATACGGCGCTGTTCTTATATATAAGTGCTGAACAGTGCATCGCTGTGATCGGTCTGTTCATACGGTGTAGCGCAGGCTGAGCTGATCAACAGGTGAGGGAGTCGATTCAGTTTAGAGGACCTGCAAAACGCGCTTGATGTAGGCTATATGAATGGCGCTATATGAGTGAAGCACGTTTCATCTCTAAATTAATTAAATGCTCGGTCGAATAAAAAAGGCATGATTTGAGGTTGGATCTGTGCGTGTTGCTGTCCGTAGTGCTGTTACTGCTTGACGCTGTCCGAGGTGCTGGCGTACGTGAGAGACCCCAGGAAAACTATACCGACGAGCGCAGAAAACCACTTGATTTTTATGACTTAAGTTTTACAATCGGAACGAGTGAGACGTAGCGATCAATCACATCGGAGTGCGAGGAACGGGAGGAGTGCAATTAATATATATAAATGGCATTTAAAAGCTTACATGTTAATTATCATGTGTGTGCATTTTCTCCCTTCTTCCAGAAGCCGTTACAGCTGGAAATGAAGAGAACGCAAGATTTCTCTCCTTCCACGAGCTGCTGGAGATGGTGCATTCAGTACCAGGCTTTTTACTTCTCTTGACTGGAGAGGGAAAGCTGCTGTACCTGTCAGACAGTGTCGCCGAGCATCTTGGACACTCCATGGTGAGTCCAGCAAGGTGGAACGACATTTTTAAATGTTTATTTCGCTGGTTTTTGTCAGGCAGGTAATTAAGCTGTTGCTTTGTGGCTAAGCATGTTTATGGGTTCAAATAGAACTTCAGCTAGGCCTATGTGGATTTACATAACTGCACTATGTTCATGTGCATTTTATCAGTGCACTTTTCCTCCTGAGACAAGGGGATCCGAAAAACTTACTGTTAATGAGAAATAGTGACACTAAATAATGACTAGGGAGTATTTGTGAGTGCTTATACGCACCGAGGGTCCCGTTCGGGAAAATTCCCGTAATATGTTTTATGCTTCCCTGGATTTCCTGTGGATAGCTGCGACCTTAGTTGCATGAGTGCGTCTTGAAGATGCATGAATGAAATCTAGCCCTTTAGCCAGACATCGTTACTTTGCGATGGACCACATGAACGTGTTGTTAATAACTGAAGAAGGTCTCCCGGTGAGCCTGCTATCGTTTCAGAGGCAGACACGTCTGTCACTCTCCACCTGAGTGTGCATGTAGTTAGAAGCCTCTCCGTCATCCGCACTAATCAGATGCCGGCAGTGTCCGCGTGGTCTGGAGGCAGCGGTGCTGAATGGCTGTAAAAGGGAGAGTGTCGGGCTATGTCTGATGTCACAGCCAGCACGCTCATTTCGGATCGGTTATAATTAGCATAACTGGAATACGTGCCGGGGATAACGGAGTGTTAGAGGGAAACGTGACGCATGACTCACCTACACTGGGGATAGGAGAGATGCTACCAGACAGAATTAGACATCAGCTACCTTGCAGGCAGAGGCATCTGCAGCATTTGGAACAGCCAAGTGTAAATGTATATGATGTCATTTTCCAGGTGGACCTGGTTGCCCAGGGTGACAGCGTGTATGAAATCATCGACCCCGTTGACCATGCGATCATGAGGAGCAATCTGTCTTCAACAACCACACCAGACACAGGTAAGACTGGTGTGTATGGGTTTTTGCATACTGATGTTGGGGTAATCCGGCACTGCTGCGAGTTCATTCAGACCAGAATTCTGTCTGTTTCACAAACAGAAGACATTCTTTCCTTTTTCTCCCCACTGCAGACCGCCTGTTTCGTTGCCGCTTCAACACGTCGAAGTCCGTCCGCCGGCAGAGTGCCGGAAACAAGCTGGCGCTGGTCCGCGCCCGCTGCCTGTCGTTCCCTAGCCCCGCCTCCTCGCCTGGCTCCTATTGGACCACCAATCTGGTGTGGGTGTGCTTCTGCTCCCCGCTGGAGCCCCACCCACCCCGCTCTGTGCTCACCAGGGAGCCCAAGCTGAGCCCCCCAGCTGACCACGGCTTTTTTTTGGCCTGCTTCTACTCCCAGCACAGCCGGGACATGAGACTGCAGGATGCACAGGACAGGTATGAGGCTAGGAGACATGGAGCCGTCACCTTTCACTGCGGGATGGTGGCGTGTTATTTACTCGATGCCCCCTTGCTCTCTCACACAGTGTGATGGTGTACCTGGGTTTCGATGTGGCGACACTGCGCTCCCGCTCCTGGTACAGCCTCCTGCATCCGGAGGACCTCTCCCACGCCTCCGCCCAACACTGCTACCTGCGTGAGTGTCTCGGCCACCAGGTGGCGTCGTCTCACACCAGAGGATGCCATCACACGGCACCCACACAGCACCAGAATATCAGTACTGCATACCTGTGACTCATTGGCTGTTCGGCACCCCACCAGTTCCCATGTGCTGACGCTTTCTCTCCCTGTCATCTTTTTTCCGCAGTGAGTGACGGAAGTGAGGGGCGGGTGGAGGCAGTGGTCCGCGTGGAAGCTGCCGACCAATCGTGGGTGTGGCTTTACATGGTGCTGCAGCTTGAGGCTGGAGAAAACGTCATCAACTCCCACAACTATGTTATCAGGTACTTCCTCCTACCATTGCTCTGCCTTAGTTAGATTTATCATGAGACTATCTGTGTCTAGGTCATGAGAGGCTGTGCCGACCTCACTGTTAATCCTGCTCTTGTTGTTTGTCTCACAGTGAAGCTGAAGCATGGGCCATTAAGCAACAGCTATCCTCAGAGCAGACCCAGCTCAGCCTGGTACTGAGCTCCAGCACTTCCTACCAAGACAGCCTGAGCCTGCAGTCTCCAGACACTCTGTCCAGCCCGGATCAGGTCTTCACGCCGGGCAGCAGCGGCCTGTCCGGCCAGTCTTTCGACTTCAGCGTCGTCGTTTGTGCCGCGCATTCCTCTGAAGAACCAGCAGGTGGCGCCGCCGAGCCCATGCAGCTGGAAGCCGGCCCACGTTCAAGCATCTCCTCTCTGGAAGACGACAGCTTCTTCCAGCACCCCCCTGCTGGCCCCGCCTCCAGCCCCACCTCCACGTCCTCTCCGACTCCAGTGACTGTTGCCACGGTGTCCGACTTAGACTTTCTTACCCAGAACATATTCCTGCCTCCATCCTTCCCCATTGAGCCCCCATTACCTGCTCTCCCTCTGCCTCTCCCCCCTCTCCCCATACCCCAATCCCAGCAGGGGAAGGAGTTTGTCTGCACACCTCCTTACACCCCCCAGCTGGCAGGGGGCAGCTTCCACTTTGGAGATCAGCTTCTCAGCTTTGATCTCACCAGTCCCGCCAGCCCGTCACCACTGGACCCAGCAGCCACTCCCCCGATCTTGACAGCCCTGCCCCCATCTCCCTCTGACCCCATAACCACTGTCAGCAGCCCCTCCACCCCCACTAGGCAGTCCTCCCTCCAGTCCCTCTCGCTCCCTCCCCTCTCCTCTGAGCTGCTCTTCACAGCAGACCCTTGCAGCAGTTCCCTCTACGAGAAGCTGCCCCCCACCCCCGACAGCCCCGGAGATGGCGACTGCACCATCATGACTCTGCCGGAAGTCCGTGGCCCCCTCTACGTGGACGTGCCATTAGGGCCTTTCCATTACCCCCCAGACGGTCTCCTCACCCCAGAGGCCTCTCCAGGAAAGCAATCCTGCCTTTCTTTCTTCTCCATGGAGAAAGAGAAGGAGAAAGAGAGAACGGAGATTTCTCTCCTCGCCCAGCAGATTAGCTCCTTAGCAGAAGGATTCTACTCGGACCCCACATTTTCAAAACTTGCCCCCTCCTCCCCATCGGCCTCCCCTACTGACCCACATACCCCCACTATCCTGGAATCCATGTCACCCCAAACTGAATTCCACCCTGTCAAGTCTTGGAAAGGTGCAGACCTCCCCCTGTTTCCAGATGACATCTCTCTGTTTGAAGAGAGTGTTTTAGATTCCCTCCTCCAGGACCTTTCCTCTTGTTCACCCTCCCCTTGCCCTTCCTCCCTAGCCGCCTCCTGTCCCCCCCCATCACCCCCTACCCCAGTATGCTGGCTCCCACCCCCCCACATTGAAGGGGGCTCTGTTGTGGGCATGAGCCACATCTGTAGCGTCCAATCGGCGCACTGTAACTGCCAGGCCGGGAGAGGGGCGATAGGCCCTGCCGATTTGGGGGCACTAGGAGGCGGGCAGCCGACGGAGGGGGAAATGATGGAGGTAGAAATTGTGCCATCGCCACATTTCTCCTCCTCGCCCATCCCAGAGTCACCGCCCTCACGCATAACCGCTAGCCCGACCTCCACCCCTGGCACGCCTGTTGCCCCCGTGGCCCCTGGTCTGCCTTGCGCCCAGTCCCTCCTGGAGGAGCTGGCCGCCCTGGAACCCATGTTTGGGGCAGGTGCCTCGATTGCCCCTGGACTGGGGCAACAACCTGAGTTGTATCAACTCCAATGTTGCCCATCGCCACAGAACTTCCAAAAAGGTGAGGGTCCAACCAATCGTCTGGCATTCACTCTGCATGTGGAAAACGCAAGCATATATTTCAAGATGCAACACACCTTTTGTGCTTTAGTCATAATGTAAACCTAAGGCTTTGATATTTGGGGTTAATCTATCCTGTACTGACCTCTCGCTCTTCTTCTCTCATCTTGTCTTTCAGATGGAAGCGGAAGTGATCCTCAGTTCTAAATAAGTCTGTGACTTACTTCATAAAGTATGGCACATTGTCATATTTCGTGGAGCTACTGCTTTTGCCGAAAAGTCAACAACATTTAACTGTATGATTATATACATAATGTATATACAAGCAAAAGGACATTTATTTACCTGTCTGATGCGAACCAAGACTGTCTTCTACTTTTGTTAATTTATTTATGAGTATATCTGAACGATGGTTCAACCATTTGACTGAGTGGATCTGAGCCTGGACTGGGTTGTGTTCCAGTCTGTGAGAAGTCACTTCCCTGTAACACAAGCTTCGGCTCTGATAAGGCAGAGACTTGAAGTCGACTCGAATTGTAAGCACAATTCAGTTAGCAGACATATTTGTATTCACTCGTAGTGAGGAACTTCTATTGTGAACTTTGAAGAAAAAGTTTTTCCATGCTCTTGATAAAAAAAAAAAAAGCCTGTTTCTCAATAATAATTCTTGTCATCCAGCAACAAACACAAACGGCAGAAGGTACCTAATCCACATGGAAATGAATCTAAAACCTAAACTGGGCAGCTCAGATCACCAGCCTGGTTCCTCGTCTCTTGTGGGGATTCCTCAATGGCCATGGCTGAAAGCACAAATACCTTATTCGACCCGTATTCCTAAGAGCACAATCAAAGTCAGTTCCGAAAGCCTCCGTGCTTTGAGTTTGTGGCTGCAGCGTATGACATAGTATTACTGATTCATTTATGACTCGTGTGTCAATGTGCTGTAAAAATAATGAACGGCAAAGTAACAGTATCTACTGCAAAAATGGGGGGGTCCCCCCCCCACCTCCTTTGTATTTTAAATGTGTGTAATGATGATGAGGCTGCCTACATTGACTGCTGCCCTGAGATAGAGGCAGACCGAGGCTAATGCGGCGTACGTTTGAGGCTGTACGCAACGTCTCAAAGGCCAAGTCTTCGGCCGTTCGGGTAGCCAGCTGGTTTGAGACGGGTTTTTTGCGACATCAATATTTGCAATGCCGGCAACACTCCCAGCTTCTCGGACCAGCGTGGCTCACTCGCCAATCCCTGCTCACTTCTTAGCGATAGAGTCCTTTGTGAATACTCAGCCAGGTGATACCGTGCCGGCGAGTGGATGCCACCATTGCATTGTGGGTGTTCCCCTCTGGTTGGTGTCGTGTCCTGGTTGACAGCTGTTTGTATGAATGGTTGATTCTTCTTTTTTGAGGGGAAAAATCAAAAGTTACTTGAAGCTTTTTGTTTTAAAAAAAAAAAATGAACTGGAAAACAGGGATGGGGTACTATTTCCATTCAGTTTCTAAGCGACACGGGTTGAGAATGATTCTATTCCCATGGTGTCGACTCGCTAACGTAGAGTTGTCTACGGTAAAGTAAAGGATTCATTCCTACGTTCTAGCTATTTAAGTGCTAAGTTTAAGAAAAAAAAACTTTTAGAATAATCTTGTATGCGTGATGACTGAAAAAATCAACGTTGTTCAATATACATGCATTTCTATGGACATAATGTATATGCTGTACAGCGATTAACGTCGTGGAGCTAAACGGCTGTAAAAATGTGTACATTTCTGTACATATACATGTAAATATCAGAGAATTTTTATTATATGAAATAAGATTATACCGGAAGTATATCCATGAAGAATGGACATTGTGGACCAGTGTTCGTTTTTGTGTTGCTGATAAGTGTATTTGGTGGTCAAATGCATTTATATTAAACTGCTCTTGATGCAGCTTTATATTTGTGTCCCTGCTTCCTGTTACTGGAGTCTTTTCTCCGCACTGTTATCCTTCCCCTCTTCCCACCGTCTTTCCTCCTGCCTGCCAGCATCCGCTGCCTCTCCCTCGCAGCCCAGATGTCCCGCTCCTCGCGCGCCGCGATAGCATTGACGCACTCGCCCAACGTGCCGTGCGGCGGCGACGCCGGCTGACTCACACTGACGCACACGCCTGTGACACAGAGGCACTCACACGGACACAATCGGCTACCCCTCTTACTGGGCACAGCGGGCGCCTTCAGGCACGCCAAATGGCATCCGTGCAAAATTCAATCCCCCCCCCTCTCCCCTGGCAACCCGCATTTCAACAGCACGTGGCAAGTCTGTCCAAAGTCCATATATGGGCTTTCCGGCTTCTGGCGTAATTCGCAGTTCCTTGCCCCTCCCCTGCCGGCTTCCGTCACTCAGATAGGCTGGCAGAAACAGGGCAGGGTGTTGCCGTGCAGATGAATCCCACAGTAATCCAGCCTGTCCTATTCATTACCAGCCATTCAATGAAACAGCTCCCTCTCATTCAGCAGGATCCTGCTCTCATTTGCTATTGTGTGCCCCTGCAAGAGAATCACCCACATTCTCCCCTTTCATTATTTCCAGTTCATAAAAATGTATAATAATTGAACATAAAAATTCATTGTTAGAGCCCTCTGGCAGATTCTTCCCTTTATCCTCTCTCCTACCATTTGTGCAGATTTGGACCTCTCAGGATGGGAATGACCACAAAAAAAAAAGCAAAGAAAAAATAGTCAATAGAAATTCTGGATCAGTTCGGGTCCAGCTAGGTCTCCCCTTTGTCATTTTCCAGCGGTATCATATCTTCTGCTCCCTTCATTTTTCTCTGTCGATTCCCATTCATTCACCCAGTATGGATGCTGTCACAGTCAATTATGTTTTTCCCACTTCTGTCTCACTGGCCTCCATCTCATTTTCTCAGACTTGACTCTTTCCACCTCTGCCTCACTGGCCTCATTCTCACTTTCCCAGCTCTGACTCTCTCCAACTCTGTCTTACTGGCCTCATTCTCATTTTTCCCAGGTCTGACTCTCTCCACCACTGTCTCACTGGCCTCATTATCATTTCCACAACTCTGACTCTCTCCACCACTGTCTCACTGGCCTCATTTTCATTTCCACAACTCTGACTCTCTCCAACTCTATCACACTGGTCTCATTTTCATTTGTCACAGCTCTGACTCTCTCCAGCTGTGTCACTGGTCTCATTCACATTTTCACAGCAATTACTTTATCTTATGCCCCTGGCAGGAAACCATATAAAAGGAAAATAACAGCAATAAAAAGTACCAAATTGTATGATTAAACTGATCTACACATTAAAAAATTCATACCAGACTTACTGTAATTGATTACCTCATACAAATAATTATCTTTTTTATGTCACATCCATAACAATGATAAAATGCAATGCATTCTAAGATGCTAATTAAAATATGAATTTTTAGGATTTGTGTATATTCAACCCAAGAGGTTACATGAAAGGTAAACACACTGACTCATTGATATTGAGCTTGGCAAAGCAGAGGCATTTTATTTGCCAACATAAATCGAAATGTCCCATCCATAACACTGGACTTATTTGTATAATTAGGAAGCAAACACACCAGAGTTGTACACCTCTCATGCAGTAATTGTTGGACTGCTTTTAGTACCTGAAAATAATTCATGGTAAAATACTGCCCCACAATGGCCAAACTGGGAAACTACACTGCTACTGCATTAATGTTCAATTAAAATTTAGTTATTGGTGCCACACTATGGCCACATGCAGGTACTGCAACAAGAGGAATAATCCCAATGATTCATGCAACAAGAGGTTACAATGAAGCTTATAGGAGGCAGAAGTTGTCCCAACTGTAAATTAGCTAAATTTAAACTCCAGGTAAGTGCAGGCAGCCCAAAGGTTACAAATGAGATCTTTTCCCTAAGTCACTCTTTAAGTTGAATTTGTAGGTAAGTTGTAAAGTTGGACCAATAATAATTCAATACATAATAATAATAATGTTACTACATACAGCATTGTACTGTACTTCAAGCCAACAAACCACTAAAGCAGCACAATGTTTTCATGAGCGTCAGAAAGTAGTGCGTGTGTAAACATATTAAGAGCTATTGCATTTAACTCAGATTTTTTAAATAATAGGCTTCATAGTAGTCTGTTCATAAGTACGAGTTGTTTGTAAGTCAGATGTTCTTAACCCGGGGACTACCTGTATTACATTACATGTATTACATTATTAAAAAGCTGCTGTCTACTAGCAGTCAAAAATGAAAACTAATGCACAATTCAACGCACAGTTTGGCAAAGAGCAGTCTGAAGATGAGAACAGTAAATTTATTCTTATGGAGAGGATTCCATACTTCAGAACCTCTTTCACACATAGAGAAGATAAGGCTGAGAACAGAGGAGACTGTTGTTGGAGAGACTGTAATCATTATGGGGTATAGCATCTGCTAGTATCTTGAAGCTAAAATACATCAAGGTCGTGAATTTTTTATTGGTTACAAGCTGTAGCCAGTAGAATGAGGCTGTGCTGAGTTCAACATAGTTTGAGCAGCTGAGTTATTAATGAGTTAGAAAAAGAATATGCAGGCAATGCAATTGCATATGCAATGAACCAACAATGCTGTGGATCCCTAGGACGTAAAACAAGAGGAATGTGCGAGGACTTGGTCTGTTTTTTTATTTGCTGACAGGTGAGGTTTTCATGGAGGATGATGCTGAAATATTTGGCAGCTATTTAGGATGCAGCAGTTGTTCAGGGTGACCATGAAATGCAGATGGAATGAAGCACTGGCTGAGATGGAATGGAGTACCAGAAAGAGGCGGTTCCCTGCAAAGAACATTTAGTCCCTCTGATGTGTTGTAACTTTTATACTTTCATGACAGTCAACACTGTGAAATGTACACTTTTCTGTGCAGCCATGGGCAGCAAAATAGTGATATCTGTATCAATTCAAAGGTTTAAAGTTTCCTTCCATCCTTACTTACTTCCCTCCCATTACGAATACAAATGTACAACCAAAACTTCAGTGTCATTCATTGAACACTTCCCAATTAAATAAGGAGTACACATTCGCCAGGTCATCCTAAGCATCATTTTAATAGCTGTATTTTTGCTTTCATCCAATCTAACAAAATACTTTTAGCAGAAACAAAACAATAAACAAAACCAAGAATCTAACAAACAGTATGAAACAGAATGAAAAATACATTATTAGGTCACAAACACTCAAGAATATAAGTGTGCGCCTGTTTAGTGAGTCGCCACAGAAAGACTCATCCCTTCGTGGGACGTCACTTCTTCTTGGCTTGTGTGGCTTCTGCCGCTGCCATCTCTTGTTCCTGTCGTAGCTTCTCCTCTCTGATCTTCAGAAAGTCCCCGTACTCCTTGGCTGACAGGCTGGGAAAGGGCAAGAGGACCAATGATGGGAGTCAGGACACACAGATGGAACGTGATCCCCACTGCAGAGACCAGTTGCTCCACCAGGGAACTCTATGGGCTTGTAATTATGCAATTCTAGGTATGGGATGCGAGAGTTTGCACAGCCAGGGGTTTGGCAGGGACAAGGAATGGGTCACAGCACCTGTCCAAGTATGCGTGTGTGATTAATATTCTGCTGCAGTTTGTAAATAGAGAGCTCTGGTTAGGGTAGGGGGTGTGGCTAGTGAAGATTTCAGAATTCCATTGAGGTCCAACAAAGAACGAAGCAAAACAGTAACTCAACACGTGAAATCCAATGTGTATTAGCACTATTAGGGGAATAGACAACTTTAATGTGGTAATTCTTTTTTAAGATTCACTTTTGTGTCAGAAAGGGGCAATCCATATGCACAGGCTAAGCTGTTTATCGTAAACATATCTGCTTGGAAAATGGATTCCAATTACAGGCAGCAAAACATTGGAACCGCAATAACTACTCAGCAAATTTAACGGCCTCCCAGCAGTGAAATAAAGAGAGGCCTTTTCTGCTTTATATTATGCACTGAACACACAAACCTTTAGAGCTCCTTAATAACAGAACCCAGCAGTTAACTGCTTTAACAAATACTACTTGACTTAGATGATACACAACACAATTCAACTTGATTACTTTTAATGTTCGTTTGCCTTTATCAGTTAGCCTTTTGAGTGTCTGTTAAACAAATACAATTTAAACAGAATGAGTTCACTCTGCTGGCTGTTGTATGGAATTCTGTGCGAAGATAAATTAGTGAGAAAACTGCTTGGGAAGTGAGCTTGAGAAGTGATTTGATGGGTGTGTGGGTTCCTGTAGCTCAGCATGTGCAGTGTTCCCTCACTGGGGGCAGGAAGGGAGTGCATGGCGCTTCTGAGAGTGAAGCAGTGCTTATGTTCAATCACTATTTTAGTACCAGAAACAATACCATCAGAAATGTGTACACATATGGGTGCTAGGGTTAGAGGGGTGGAATATTTCTGATAAATTTCCTGAAACTTTCCAGAAACTTTCCATGGGAAGTTAAGTAGGGGAATTTTGGAAATATTCAGCTCGACATGAAACAGGCATATTAAAACTTTTGTGAATAAATACTGCAAAAATATCAAGTAAATGACTTCCTAATGAATAGAACGCTGCAGTTTGTAGTTATTTATAAGGTATAACAGGTGTTTCGTTTATAATAAATGAGCCGAGTCAAAGCATTTCAGCGAGCTGTTGAACTCTACACAAACTGTCAGATTCGGTAAAGAAAGCAAACTTTATAAATAATACAACATAGAATATGACTTATAAGCAGTGTGTTTTGATGCAGATGCTTATTTTTCGGGTGCTTTTACGCAAGAATTCCTCACAAGCACTACAATCACTTGGTTACATGGTGATATCACAATTAGTGCCTTTAAGATCAGTATCTTGCGATTCTGGTGGTATGTGTATGATTTCTGTGTGTCAAAGGGCTAACTCAGTAATATCGTCAAAACTTACTTGACTGCATGTAGTCCTGGGCTCAAATGCAGTAGTGTGGCTTCAACAGTCCTATTAAAGTGTGCAGGACTGTAGAAATTATCTGTGCATGTGATGGAGGAATGCAAAGTGCAGGGCAGAAATTCAAGTGAATTTCCATATAATCTGCTAGTTTTTTTTCCAACTACATTTAAGTACCCTGTTAAAGACTAACTTGAAATTTAGCAAATTTCCAGTTTATTCCCATATATTCCTATTAATTCCCATGGAAAGTTTCCAACTCTGAAAATTCCTGGAATTCTGCACCCTACTGGATATCTAATATTTTTAGCGGTGTGTGTACATCAGTACTACTGATTGAAAAAATATGCTGCACTTTTCCAGAAGGCTTCCGGTGTGTTTTCTGCAAGATGCCGGTGCTGTGCACAAATGCCAATGCGGCTTCTTACTCATTGACCACTTTAATGCCCAGAGAGCGGGCGGAGCCCACGATGCCCTTCACCACGGTTTCCATGGAGGCATCCTGCAGCACAAAGCAGTCGTCCTTGGCTTTGACACGGGCAATCTCATACACTGTCCTTATAGACACCATGCCCGCTACCTCATGCCCTGAAGGGACAAAGACAGGGTAAAGAATAAGGGTGAAAGCACAGAAGCATGGATGGGGTGACAGCAGAAGTGGGGGGCGGATGCGATGGTGGCATGCAGTGTTAAGACAACAAAAACAATACTGGAGGAAGGCAGGGATACGACACAGGAAAAAAGGGACGTTTACAGAGAGAGAAACTTTTTATAATTATACCTTTACAAAAACCTCCTCAAAAACAACCAGTCAAAAGCCTATCATTAATAAAAAAAAACATAAACTAAAGGCATTTCTGGAACAACTCTGACTTTTATTTAAAAAAAAAAAAATGAAAGATTCTGCACTTAAACATATGAAACCTTTGAGTGAGGCACATTTATTCATTTATCTGGCATTGGCCTTTAGTCTGAGCGAATTCCAAGCATTAAAGCTTATGATACGTGCATTTACCCAAGAACCGCATGCAAGCCAATAAACTGTACAAACCAATACTTATCTAATTGCTCAGGCCATTTATTTAAAGCAGATGCGAGAGCTTTGCAAAGGTTTCACATTTAGCCCACTCATGCACTGAAAAGTTTTTGCACATACTGAGATTTTCTACATTTGCACGTTACTCACTTAACATTTACTAAAAAAATACACTCAGTATTCTTCGCTAGCAAATAAATTTACAGTATGTTCACCATTTGAGTCACGTCTTTGATTCATCAAAGTTACCTCCTCTAGCTGTTATAACAGCAGAGAGAGTTTGAGGCATTCTTTCTGCAGGGGATGATAAATACTGCTGTGTTTCATGGGATGAAACAGTTAACTAGTGCATTTAAAGTTAACGGACAGCCTAGAATCTGACTATGACATCACCACACAACCAGTTACCTGGATGTCAGACATGCAGTTACATACTCTTCCCATGTTATCAAGGAATATTGTTTTATTTGATTTATATTTTCACTTATAGTTGTTCACTCAACTTTGTATTGCTTAACAAGAGCAAAAACCTGCAGTTTAGTTTGTTAAAATAAATGGAAAAGTGGTAAAGACCTGTGGGGTGCAGAAGCTTCTGACTGGGGGTGTAGACGGGGCGGCCAGGCTCATACGCCACCCTGCCTGCTCCGAGCTGATTGTGCTTTTAGCTTTAAGTCCAGTATCCTTTATTTTCTTCCACCAAGAACTCTTTAGAACTTTTTAGTGACTTATGATCATGCCACACTGGAACTACACATCTTGTACAACCATTGATATATTAACTTAAGAACATAAGAAGTTTACAAACGAGAGGAGGCCATTTGGCCCAACAAGCTCGTTTGGGGAGAACTTAACTAATAACTCAGAGTTGTTAAAATCTTATCTAGCTCTGATTTAAAGGACCCCCAGGGTTTTAGCATGGAAGGCTACTCCATACTCTAACTATACACCATTTACTTTTATTGTCCGTTTTGCAGTTCATTTTTTTCGTTAGTGTTATTTTATTGCTAATTTATAATTTTTTTATTTTTATCATTTTATGCTATTTTGTTTTTCTTTGTATTGCCTATTTCCTTCAAGAACAATCCAGGGAGCAGGAAGAAAAGCATTTCACTGCAAAGCAGTACAGCGTATGATCGTACATGACAAATAAAACCTGAATCTCGAACTTGAACCGCATGCTAAGATTCCAGTCATTGTTATATGGAATCCTGCACAAAGCTGCAGAAGATGAGTCTGTAACTTTCTGATTGCAGGTCATTAATCGGCTGATTCGTTTGACACTATATACAGCCAGACATCCTGATTTTCCTGCTTTCAAGGTGTCCCTGGATCAACAAGGGAGGGGCTTGTGGTTCAGTTTTTCAACCAATCACGGTCTTTATTGCATGACATCACCACACAGGTCCATTTTTTAATTATTTTCTGACTCCACGCTTCCAGCCATCGAGCTGGGGCTCAGCAGGCTGAGCCTCTGTGCCTGTGATCAGAAGGTTGCTGGTTTGAGCCCCAGCCTTGGCAGAACAACCACATGTCCGTGGGCCCTTAAGAAAGATCCTTTATCCCCAGCTTATTATTGTTGTCGTCATCATCATTAAAAACATAAAATAAAGACAAGCCCTTACATTGCTCCATACAGCCTTTGCAGGTTAGCATGTCATTATGTCCCTTAATGAGAGGCATATACAATAAAATGGGTCATTTACAAATCTGTGCACCTTGGAACTTAACAGAAAACATTGGTTCTAATCAATGTGGTGATGTCATACGATGAAGACCGTGATTGGCTAAAGAAATTAAATGCAAGCTCCTCCCTTGTTGACCCAGACACGTGTTGAACTAGGGTGTGTCCGTGCAGCCAGTGAATGTTATGTCACACAGCACTAAGCTGGCATGAACTTATCGCGAGAAGCTGGATGTCTCCCTTCATTTTACCTGTTTTTTTGGCCCCCTTCTCAATTCCGGCAGCTGCTTTCAGGAAATAGGATACCGTAGGCTGACCAATCTTTATGTCATACGTCCTGTCAGGCTGCACAGAAGGAAGACACAATCACAACCCAACACATAAACGGCATGTTTAATTATGAGAATCGTGAGCACACTAAGGGACGAAACTGAGGTGACAGATTTATTAGTGACAATTAGATTCCCACATATATAACAGGGATCCTGGGAGGACCAGTCAAAACTGATGCGACAATACAACACAACCAGGAAGGAGGAGACGCATGTCCTTCAACCGAGGGGGGGGGCTCCTGTAAATCACTTGGGCTAAGCCTCTGCACCTGTTATAAGAAGGTTGCCGGTTCAAGGCCAGCCAAGGCACATCTGCGGGTCCTTGAGCGAGAAGCTTAACCCCCCACCCCTCCCAGCTCCCTGGGCGCCACTACTGGTTGCTGCCCTTCATGGCCAGATTGCTATCACCTACAGAGCAATTGGGGGAGGCATAGAGATAATTAAAGTATCTATTATTATTATTATTATTATTATTAGTAATAAATCTCCCAAGGCAGTCATCAGCAGCAAGGAGCAGAAGTGTCGAGTGACCGAGGTGGACAGATAAGCTGCTGGTGTGGTGGAGTGAAGGGCAGGGCAATGGAATCAGCTAAAGGTGAGAAACACTCTATTCTATTTATTTACAGCTGTAAGATAGGAAGACTTAATAAAACCACAGCAACAACAGTCATTGGGTTTGAGTGTCAGCATGTTATTACCCACAGGGTGACATGGGGCAAGGGGGGTGGAACTCAAGGCACCATCTCAGTGAGACACAGCGGCCTTGTCTGGTATGACGTACAGTACCGCACAAAAGTCTTAGGCTGCCAAAGAAAATTATTTAAATAATCTTTATGTTGGTATAAAACTATGATACTATAGCTGTCACAGTATGCTAGCATAGCTGGATCAAAAGCTCTGCTAAAGGCGCCCCAGTATTTGAAGTCACCCTCCAACATCCCCCTGTGTTTGTTCACTCATCCGCTAGCATATTCTGTTTGGCTAATCAACACCTAAAGTTATTTAATTAAGTTAATTATTCATGTGAGCTGGTGGTGGAAAGGCTGGGGAGCCCCTGGGGGGGGGGGGGGGGGGGGGGGGGGGGGGGGGGGGGGGGGGGGGGGCCCTGGGGGTCCTACGGGACTGAAGCAGTCTTCTTCAAACCATCCAACAACATATTAGTAGCTTTTTGGAAATCAGAAAAGAAACCTTGTCGCTTTTTATTGTTCTACTGTTGAATTGCATGTATTATAATGACATTTTTCTGAGCAAATATACAATCCAGATAAATCGCTACAACATTTTCTTTGATGCACAGCACGATATACATTTCAAAAAGGGTGTTGCATGGGTTGTGTGAGCCAATAATGTCTGTTTTTGTTTTTCTGCAAGTGGGCACGGCACCTCAGTGCGGTGACAGAAAGCCAGGCCTCGTATGAGCAGGCGTATGCCAGATGGCGAGTGTCGGGGGGTGGGGGGGTTGTTTCTGTATCCTGCAGGGAACTAATTTTGTTTATATCGCCCAATAAAAATTCACCCTTTCTGCCACCTGAAATCGGGCCTGACACTGGGAGTCTGCATGACTTCAGCAGAGCAGGAAGTGCGGCAGCCTTGCATTGTCTAGGTTTGTTAGTGTGCTTGCACACGCTTCGCTAGAGCCTCCTTTGTTTAAATTTAATAAAGGAATTATTGTCTGAAGCCCCATCTATATTTCTCATCATCTGTACCAAGCACACTTCCGCTGCATCCCTGCTTGTCATTCCTCCTTAGCCAGACAATATGGATTACTTTTACGTGATGAATGATTCAGGACATACACTTCAAACAAAGGGAAATGTATGGAATATATTTTAAGGAAATCTTCACCCTGTGTAATACTTGGCTCATTCTCAGCAGATTCAGAGAGGTGTGAATGCACAAAGGATAAATAAAATGGGAACAGAGAAATGCACTGTTACAGAAAATTTGGAAATAAGATGACAGGCCCACAGCAGCAATGGAAAACAGAATCAGTTTAAATATTTGTCCAGGCAGTCTGCACCAATCAGTTAAATAGGCTTCAACAATCAATTTGAAATAAGGTTTTAAACTGACTGATGAAAACTGAAAATGACTGGTGTGGTACGGTTGGTTTATGAGGCCAATTACTGAGGGAGAGCGTGTGTGTGAGTGTGAGTGTGAGTGCGTGTGTATGTAATCGCTGAAAAACCCAGACTGGCGTTATTCCACCTAAGCTTGAGTTTTATAAATTGTGAAAGTCGTTTCATTTTATGCTTCAAGAATTAGGATAAGCATAGCCCTTAAGCCGCCAGCGCTCTTAAGCTGATGGCAATTAGCTACTGACATTGACGTCGTTATTGAGAGAGGAGAGAGCAACACTGCGTGGTGGCAGCATCCAATTAAACCAGCTGTAATTTCAAATTTGTTGTCAAGCCACTTTCATTGTTGTGCTCATTTCAAAATGTTTTACTTCTGATGCATAATCATTACAGACTCTTTTCATGCGAAGAGCCGCTGAAGCCATGATTAAATAAGATTTTTCTTTGTCGTATTATGTTCCATACAGTGTTCCTCATTATATGATTTATTTCGAAAGCTTTATTGATCCAAACTGTGTACATATCTTCCTATTCAAACATTGGAACTCGCAATGTAAACTTCCACTTGCCTTAGCAAATGCTACACAATTTAACAAATCAAAATTTAGGCAGATTTAGAAAAAAAAACAAAATTATTTTCAATGAATTTGACTCTTAGACACGGGCCACTGCTTCCTAAGCAGTAAGATTTAGGTACCACGCTGTACTTCCTTTGAGGCCTCTTATGAATGGTGACCTCAGGTAAATCTGTGTCTTAAAGCGGCCGTGCTTTATGCTGCTTTTCTGCATTAGCGATTCTCCTTTCCTCATTTCAGGAATTTTGAGTTGCTCTTCGGCATATTGGCCACGAAACCAGCTGTGTACCTCAGATGTTTTTTGCGTCAACTTAAGGCATTTTCACCTACGCTGAGAGCTGCCTGTTTGTGTTTCACTTGTGATTTTAATCAGTTCATGCTGATTCTTACACAACTGTACTAGACAGCTCTTTCAGTGCAAATCTTAATACTTACTTAAACCTTACCTTACCTGGAACATAGACATACATAATTGATAGTTTATGACAAATAAAACCTGCACAATTTTAAACTGTTATCTCCCTTCATCACTTTACATTAACATGGGTGTGCATAATCCTTATCCAGCTAATGCCCTGACTTCTTTGACATTCAAAATCTGTGCGAGATGAAAAATTCATTTGGGAAAGCCGATTTGAAATAAAAGACTCCTTATAATGAATGAAGGCAACTTTGATCTCAACTTTGAGTCATCCTATGCCCTCTAGTGGATAGAATATAAAATACAATGTTATACACTGAAGGAAGAAATATCCAATTAACTCCAAAAATAGATAAGCCTCATTCCTGACGAAACACCGTACAATGTGCTGCTAGGAATGTGTCCCAAAAAAAAAAGAGTAATTAAACAGTATAGAATGTATCTAGAGCAAATCTTAAAATGTGATCTGGAAATGTTATGTTCGAATTCTGTGTACAAGCGAAACATTTTTATTGTTGGTCACAATCATTATATAAAAGTGGAAAATGTAATGCACTAATCTTTGAAAAAGACAGCATTTATATCTATTCAAATAATAATGGCTTTCATCAGGGACCATTTTAAACCATCAAATTTCTAATTTCTTATCAGAAGGCTCAATGAATAATGCATGGTTACACATTATGCTCTCTGACATTTTAAAGTTTGACATTACAGCACACAACAGTACCTTCCCTAGTAAATTAATTATTGATAAGAATGTGTTTTATCACAGCCCCAAGATACTGTTGTGACTCTCCAAGTCTGAAAAACGGGTAGAAATAAAAAGTTGGACTAGAGTTCATTTAAAACTACTTGGCAAACCATTTTATTGATAAAAATAAATAGTAATTAGCTCTAAAATCATATGCTATTTCGGTCATTATTCGGCATGCAAAAATATTTTGTTTGTTTTTTTAGTCAGTTTCCAATGTGTTGTTCTTTAGGATGTGTTTACCTGTGTGTGGTGTTTTACACACCAAAATAATACAGAGGTGTTTTGCGTTTTGATTGGTTCTGTTTTTCTGTAGCCTGCGTGATGACGTGCTTATTTTTGTGACGTACGGCAGGTGGTGGCCGGGTTTGCAGTGCTTGTACCACGTTAAGCTAGTTTTCCTAAAGGAGATAAAAAAAGAGCTTCAAGTTCGAGGCTCTGGTGTACGTGTCTGATAACTTAGAACATCTGAGAACAATTGTCATGTATCGGTGAGATACACAACACTGTGTACCTTCCCCTAAAGACACCTGGTCGGTTCTACATTTTAATGGTACTAATGTCCAAGCAGTCGGAATGGTTTGCCAAAAAAGTGAAAATCACTTAATATAAGAATACAGAGAAAAATCTAAGATTCATAGATTATTTATCATTGTCTGCTTACCATCTTGACTACTAAATAGCTCTGACTTTGGATTCCTCCCACAGTCTGAAGCCATACAGCTGGTGATTGTTAACTACCTTAGGTGAGTGAGTGAGTGAGTGAGTGAGTGAGTGAGTGCACACGTGTGTGTGTGTAATGGATTTACATTCCCTGCTCGATGCACCCTACATTATGCCGCATGCCTATAAGCATAGAAGATATCTAAAGATTTTTATTTAAATGCTGTACTTAAACACTTTCTTCATATTACTGATCCAGAAAAAGTGCACCATGAAAATAGAATGCTGGACCAAGTTACTACTCAAATAAAAGAAAAGACGACTTTAAATTACATGAAGACAGAGTAATACTGTGCCTCTAAAAATACATTCCAAAATACAGTTATACAGTACCAGTAAAAAGTTTGGACACACCTAACCACAGAAAGGTTTATTTTTACTGTTCTCTACATTTTAGAGAAATTTAATGGTAAACTATAAGATAAGTTACAATGGATTAGGTACTGATCAAAAAAGTATATATAAAAAAATATATATATTTTTTGGGGGGGCAGCTCTGTGGGTTTGGACTCAGAAGGTTGCTGGATCAAATCCCTGAGTCAGCAGAGAGATCCCACCATTGGGCCCTTGAGCAAGGCCCTTAACCCCAACTGCTCCAGGGACTGGCTGACGCTACATTCTCTTCTACACCAGTTCCATGAGGTGGCCTCCTGGGATGCTTTTCCAGCTGTCCTGAAGGAGGCCCCACATATATGCTGAGCTCTCATTGGCCACTCTTCCTTCACTCTCTGGTCAGACTCCTCTAAAACCATTTCCATTGTGTTTAGGTCAGGTGGCCAGGCCATGTGACGTGACAGTGTATCACTCTCCTTTGTAGGAGGCTTGGTGTATCCAAAGAAGCTTGGACACTAGACAGTTAAAGTGATGTCAGAATATACTGCTTGGTAGAAACTACCTTAAAAAATAACCTCTGTTTTGGAGATTCCACTCCCACCCTTTCTTCTAGGTAAAAACCCCACCATTATAAAAAAAAACTAAAATATTTGTACCTTTCTTTACAAATATTTGTTTTCAAGGTGCACCACACTGAGGAAAAAAAAATCTGTTTTTAAAGTTCTCAGGGTGAAATGGGTTACCTTTCATGTGAGCCATATCTGCTATAGGCACAGACCATGGGGAAACGCATTACACTTTATTCAAGGTAACCCTAAAATAGATCAACTTTTTCTGAAAAGTTATTGTGAAAGTTTATGTGAAAAGGGCAAACAGCTTATGGAAATGATATATTGAAAATAAACTGCAGGACGTTTGCATCTATGTGAAAGTAAATATCTAAAAGCGCATTTTGAAATGATTAGTGGAGCGATTTCAGATTCTATTGTCCTGCATCTATATTCCGTGATTATCCTTTTAATCCTGAAATTGCTATGATTAACGATGCCAGGGTCGTCAAACGAGACACACATGACTTTTTATGAGAATTACGACCTACAGAATGTCACGCATCATAAAAGGAGACCACGCATTCCTCCACGCATTCCTCCATCCATTCCTCCACGCATTCCTCCACGCATTCCTCCACGCATTTCTCCATCTTCCAACCATTTATCCTAAACTGGGTCACAGGGGAGACAAAACATAAAGTAATAGATTGAAAAAAGAACACATTTTTGTAAGAACTATAATAAATAGTTAATAAAGAATATTATTAATAATGGATATATTATAAATATTATATAAAACAGTAAAATTCAGTTGTGACAATGAAGCAGAGAAAGAAGTAACAGAAAAAAATTAGCAGACCTTGACATTGACGACGGTAGGGAGTGGGATCCCGTCCTTTATGTCTTTGGTTTTCTCATTAAAGTCCTTACAGAACTGACCAATGGGGATTCCTCTCTGTCAGCAGTCACAGGCGCAAAGGGAAGACACAAAGAGGCTGTATTATTTTACAGTACATCTTGTACATCAAAGCTCAGAATTCCTCGGGAAAAGTATCCCGTTCCAACATAACAGCCTGTGAGCTGTGCGTAGGGTGTGTTAGCATGAGAAAGCGTGACAGAAATCCTGCATGAACGCCACTGGAGCATGCCCAGAGCCGGTGGACCCAGATATAAACAAGTTTTCATGTTTCTCTGGCAGGCAGACAGAGCGGGGAGGAAGCACACTGATAGGCGAGATGAAATCAGTGCAGCACACAATTTTTCTCATGTCTGTCAAGAACACATTTCTCGAAGCCCCACGCAGGGGGCTCGGGCGAATCAACAGCGCAATTATTTTAAATTAAAGGATGTTTTTCGGGAACATGAGTGCCTGACTAAAAACCCACATATCTGACCCGAGGCGGAAAAAGGAATTCATTAAAGAATTAATAATGTTCAGTTTTAAAGATGTGAAATGTGGACTCAAATAGAAATTATTTTACAAATGCGGGGAACTGCCCACATGGGTATTAATTCTCACGAAATATTCTGATGAAGGCTAGCAATGACAGAAGACTGAATACTGCAATAAAATCTTTGAGCCAAGAACAATTCCTAAAATGTATGCATTTGAAAAAATGTTAGTTTATTTAAATCAGCTTTGTCACAGTCCCACGGATTCCATGGAGCAGTACGTCATCGATCATTGAGAGTTCTGCGACGGCAGAATGTAATGGCGTTGTTCAGTGGCACAGAGACAATAAAGATGGCCAGAGGTTTTTCATTTGACCAGCAGAGATTTGTGTCCTTTAATGTTATTGGGCATCCTTGAGGAGAATTTCCTCCTTTGTATGCCACTGTAACACCCACAGAAATTCTTCAAAATCGATGCAATTTTCTCCTCAGTCTTTTCAGGAGTAGAACAATTTTTTAAAAGATACTTTACATTCTACAGTTTAAATTTCACATTACATCCATTTTTTGGGGAAAATCCTCCAGGTAAACTGGGCTTCGCAAATCAGTGAGCTGCGCATAAATAAGAGACTCAACAAAAGAAAAAGAAAGAAACATTAAAACAGACAGTGGCAAAGTCTGCGCCAAATAGACAGGATGAAGATACCAGCTGACACATACAGACAGAGACACACGCTAAGAGCTACTCAGAGTGGTGGAGCAGACCCACTGGGAGACAAAGGAGAAGAGTAGGGTGAGAGTTAGACTGAACGACGAGCCACATAAAGGTTTGCAGTGGGCATACAGTGAGGCGTGTAGCTTTAATGTCCACTCATGAGGCTGCCTGACACATTTCAGTATGGAAATAAGTGACAGCCAGGTGACCGATGACTGATGACAGCGTTGCTAGCTAACAGCCTAGGTGAGAGGGACAAAAGCAAATGGGCAATTAAACTTGCACGCCGCATATAACCCAGTGAACATCTCAGCCAGAGGCCTGCTCTTCTATTCCCTATCCTCATGCTTTGTCCATCTTCTGTCTGCTCCACACATTAGTGTATCTCTGCATTGGCTTTTCGGCTTCAGTAATTCCTTTAACAAGAATGAGCTTTTTTTTTTTTTGAATAAAAAAAAGAAGAAAAAAACCCTTAAGCAGGAAGAAAAAGACAGAGGAAGCGGGTAAAAGAGCTGGAGTTCCAGCCTTGTGATGTGGGTTAGGACAGGAAGAAGTGACCATACTGTAAGAGAGGAGATTCGACTGGATTAAAAGACAATGAAGACAAAAAAATGAAAATATATTTCCCATTAGCCATACAAGAATACTGTTAATGTATGAACGTGTGTCTCTGGGACATCGAGCCTTGGGGCAGGATGTAGGATTAATTGCCCCTGGCACACAAGGACATGGGATTAATTGCCCTGGCAGGCTACAGTTGGCAGGGGCACTGAGGGGAAGGACACAAGGTTAATTAAACTCTCCAGTGTGAAACACTCTCATTAATTACCTTCATTACATTCTTAATTTAATCATCTTTGTTGACTGTTTTATCACATTCGCCCCCATCGTGGTGACATACAGCTTACTAGTCACCTTTTACCTTTTGCCTGCACTGAGGTAACACCAGTAGGCTTCACCCGGGAAAGAGCACACACACCGAGGGCTACCCATGCCGGAAGGCTGAACCTTCAATCACGTGCATGTCATCCTGGGCTCTCCCTGGAGGGCAACACTGCCCGCAGGGCAGCTAGTACCTTCAGGATCAGGGTTAAGAGAGTCCTGATTCCCATCCAGGCAAAGCTTCAGCTCCCGTTACTGAGTTCAGAGGAGGAACCAGATGAAGACCCTCATGAGAGGTCTTATCAAGATCAGATGGAATCAACCCTTGCTTGATGACCAGCATTCTATCGTCCTGCATAGTTATGCTCATATTTTAATCATGAAAATGTTCCACAGTTGATCATATTCTGTGAATCAAATTAAATGCATAATTTTATTGAAAAGCAAACTTCTGTTACGATTTGCCATTAATAGAATCTTCAACAGCTGTCTGTCTAAATCCCTACCTTCCCTTTACACGTCCTATACGTTTGAGTGCCTTTTTTTTTTTTTTTTAAATGAACCAGACAGAGATAGGCCCTCTGTATGGCATTTGCGTAAGAGGCAGTCTTTGACTGGCCGGTCCTTCTCCAAACCCCCTGTGCTGCCTACAATTCAGCGGCTCAGTTCAAAATGACGACTGCATCCCTGCGTGTCTCTGAATCATCCTTGGTCTGTGAGAGTGAGCCTGGTGCAAAGTGACCTTCATCTAGGACAAAAGCAAGCGCGATGAAGATGGAGGAGGTCAGAATTCCTGCACAAATCACTGAAGCAAAGAACAGATTATCTGAATATTACCTCCCCCCTTTTGCTGAGGTCGGATGATGGATAACAAAACGTATGACTTGGATTCTGGATTTAACTGCATTGTTATGGTGGCAGAGTAATGCATGATATCCTCTAAACTTCCCATTTCCCATAATCCACATCTACACCCTGCACAGCACCATCAATTCTAATCTTAATTCACAATTTAATTCTCCAGTGGTTATAAAATGACTTCATTTAAAATGACATTTGCTATTAAACCAACGTACTCTTTTTAATTTGAAAAGATATATAAATATAAAGTGAATATCAATTTAACTCTAAAAAAAATATTTCCCTGATCACAAATTAATTCCCATACTGATAGACATCAGCGACGAAGCGCTGTTATTAATTATAATATTAAAATCGGGATTAAATGCTATGATAAATTCCTAAGATCTCAAGCTTTTGTCCATAAGAGCGAACATTTCCCCGAGGTCTGCATCCTCATACAGCACCCTTTTACCACCATAAAAATTACCATTGTAATTACCATTATAAGTGTGAAAACAGTCATAGCTTCTGAATATTCAAGCGCAGCGGACTGCGCCTGAAAGTTAGAGGAGGGGGGGGGGAGGAAGGAGGGAGGGAAAGAGTCATTTAAGGAGAAAGAAAGGAAGAAAGGGGCGAGCGTGCTAGCACGTACCCTGCCTACAAATTAACACTGCAATCATAAAGTCAAGCCGGCGACGCCCCTCCACCCTCGCCGGCTTTCCTGCCTTATGTCGCGACCCGTGATTTTAGCCGGGGTCTCCGCGACGAGCATCCCCCCCTCCGTTAATTATTCAGGGGCAAACATTGCTTCGCTCCTCCGCCCCCCCGCCCCCAACTAAGCACCTCACAGCCCGGCCGATGAGCTCCATCTCCGGCCAGACAGAAAACCAGCTTTTACTACAGCGGGGATGAACCCAGGAGCGGGCATCTGTGCAGCGGAATTAGGCAGCATTTCTTAATACCAAATGCAACCGAGGCGGACGAGAGAAACAACAATCTTGATTTTGGAGACTCGTTTTAAGATTTTCTCTCTAAATACGGAATACGGAGATCTTTCGATCCAAGCAAGTCGCTATTAAAAACATTTTTTTTTCTTTTCAACAAAAACTGTGCTGTATTTCACTGCAACGACGGTGATTTTTTTAAAACTACAGCTATAAATAAAGCACGGCACACGCGTGAGAGGAATACAAGGGACGATCTGAGCTTTCAGAAAGAATTTGTACATGATCAGTAGTGACTGGACGCTGGTGTCTCCATGTGCATTACGGACTGTGTCTGAAAACGGCATCCAGCGAGTCTGTGGGAGACATAACGCATGGTAACTATACTTTCACGCACGGGATAATTAACAATTGCATCAAAAGTTGGCGGGAAACCTCATCCCGCAAATTCCATTAAAATAGCTAATGTGTTCGTAATAATTTGCGCGATAGTGATGAAAATGATTGCACGTAAAAAAATGCCTAACAAAGAAAAAAGTCACTCAAGTGCCTGTAGATGCACACGTGCGTCGACGGCAATAAGTTACAAGCTAAATCATTTATATAAAACAACTATTTGTAACTTGCGTGTTACCTTCAGTTGCCTGGAGCGAATCGCTGCACCTGTATATCAGCAGGTAACAACAAATACCAATATGTCAATATGCCATTCTCAATAAGAGATCGATTCTCCAACTGTAGCAGGGACAGTAAGAGAATTTTCTGCATTAAAACATATTTGCATCTGAACCTTTCATATTTCTTGCTATTTGCATTGTACTGCATCTTTATTTAGGGAAGGAAAAAAAACTTACTTGTTGATGGAAAGGTGTTTACAGTGGAATCACAGTCACGGGTAATTTATCTTTATTGTTGCCTTCAGTGTTGGTGACAGCTGTTTATATATATTTATATAGCTTACCCGTGGGTATTGGGAAATACTTTTATTTTCTCAGAAATTCATTTGCTTAGCATGTGGATATATTAATGGCACCCAGCTGCTATGGTAGACTTCAACATTTATGATTTCCCAGGCGGTTAGTCATGGAGTGTCAATGAGCACAGAGTAACTCCGGCTTCACACAGGCGTACTGTACTTAACGCTCTGAATTAAACATACTGGGAGTCGAACCCCAGGCTTGGGGCTAATGAGAGAGATGCATGGGTAAGGCAGCGGCGTAAGTAAACACCCAAATTTAAAAGCAGAAAAGTGAATCCCCTCTAATTGCATTGCAGCTGCTGTGGACACTAATGCCAGATTAAGCAGGGGTTCATCCATTCCTCACATCATGCAGTGCATTTCATTTTCACGCCGGTAATCCGCAACAGTGAGCAGCTGATGGTTTAGAGTGACTGATGTTAGGCTATAAATAATAAGGCATTATAATTCTCAGGTGCTTCTCTAACACTCTGTACACCTGAAACAGGGGTGCCGTTACAATTCTAAATGCATCCCTTACGTATAAGTGACCTGAGATTGCACAATATTTCCTCAAATTTAAGATCCATCTCTCTGTCACCCTTAATCCCCCCCGCTTTATCTCTCCCTCTCTCCTCATTCTTCTCTCGTGTAAGAAGCATTGCCATCATGCCTTAGTACATCATTGTGTTGCCTTCAAGCACAAACACGCCCCACGCGATTTACTTGCACAAACGCGCACTCAAAAACAGAGCTCAGTCTTCACTCGCCCAATTCACAAACTCCCAAGCCTAGTTTAAATTACACTGACGCCTTTCTCGATTATCAATTAGAATGTGCCTGTAATTGTATTCTTATAGAGCAATGATTACAGACCGCTGACACTCCCACAGTGCAGCTGGGACAGGGCTTGACAAAACTCGCAGTAAACAATGGGCTCTCAATTTCAATGTGATAAGAGGGAGCGGCCTCAATTTTATCACCGCACAAGCAATCATTTTCCTTGACGATCAATAGGGAGGTTTTGAACCGTCTGCTGCTGAAAAACTGTCTTGAGGTAGCACTTGGAAATGAATAAAATATCCGTCAGCAGAAAGGTGATCTTTTTCTCCTTTGAATTCAAATGGCAAACACCCACATGCAAATACATACCATCAAAACAAGTAATAAAAACAAAGATATTTAACTGGAGACATTAACTAGAACCACCATTCCACGATATCTCAGGATAAAAGAGGTTTTCCCAGGTGGCTCGGTTGCAGTTACTCATCGTTAAACCGTTAATTGTATAAGATCTGGTCTCGAAGATTCACAAAAGGGAACTTGTGAGACATTCCAAGCGATAAGTCAAATTAAAAATAGGGTCGCGGCAGATTCTACTCAGTGTCAAAAGAAGAAAAAGTCATTTTACTTGAGCGAGACCATGGAAACAGCGATAATAGAGAATAATAAACTGACTGAAAGCAGACACAAAAGATGAGTGCACTGCTTGCTGTGCCACTAAGCGTGCACATCATACTTCAACAACCTTAAGGAAAGCTGGACTGAGCTCTTTACACCGAGTTAATACTTTACTTTGCCAGGTGCCACGTGAAAACCGCTGATCGGCACTTTTCTACCTTTTTATGGAAACAGGATCTGTATGCTAACTGTGCCGTTAAATTCTGGTGGGACGGATGGCACAGCAGATCTGTGGGTGGTGGTACTGACTCATATCTGGCATTACCGTTTGCCCATGTCTCGTTGGTTTACTCTGTGTTTACCTGTCTCTCACGACAATTTCAAAGACCAATTTCAATCCATGACTTAATTCACCATTTAATCTTTCGAAGGCTTTTACTGGGGAAGTCTCTCTCCTTGTCTTTTCAGGCATGGTACCCCCACCCCAGGTGTGCGTCTCGACCCTGGTGACGGTGAGCACGATGATGGTGGTGGACCTCTATCTGCTGGAGCAGAGCATGATGGGAGCTCAGTGGAAGGCCGGCCCGGGGGTGTGGCCATCGGCAGCCGTGCTGCTGGGAGATCTGTGCTTCCTGGTGGCGCTGCGCTTCATCTCGGTGGGCGTGGCCTCGGAGGCCCGGTCGCCTCGCCGCGCCTTCGCCAACGCCCTCTGGTTCCTCTTTCTGTCTCTGCTGCAGCTGAAGCTTTTCTTCGTCTGCCAGAACTACCGGCAGGAACGGCGTCCGCCGGACCCGCTGGCGCGCAAGACGCTGACCCTCCTGCTCTCTGTGTGCCTGCCCTCGCTCTTCCTGGTCCTGACGGGCGCAGAGCACATGACGCCGCTGCGCAGGAAGCAGGAGGCGCGCGGCCGGCTGCTCTGGGTGGTGGTGGACCTGCTCGACGTGCTGGACCTGCAGGCGGGTCTGTGGGAGGCGCACGGCGAGACCCGGGCTCCTCTCTGGCTCGAAGGCCTGCTCTTCTTCTACTGCTACGTGCTGTTGCTGCTGCTCCCCTGCGTCTCGCTCACCGAGCTGGGGGCCACCGCTACAACTGCCGCCACTCCGGCCCTGGGGGAGCGCTGCTCGCGGAGGGGTGCCGTCTACCCCTGGCTGAGCCTCGTCACGGTCAACGTCCTGACGCTGTTCCTGCGCGGCGCCAGCATGCTATGGTATCGCGACCCGCGCGTCTCCACCGTCTTCCTGGGCAAGAACCTCCTAGCGATGGCCGTCAAACTGAGCTCGGCCTGGGAGCGGCACAGGCAGAGGGCGGGTGCGGCTCGGGCCCCTGGAGCCGGCTGCAGGAGCCCGGTCCCGGAGGCGGCACCTCAGCGCCAGGAAAACCGCAGCGACGTCCTGCCGCTGTCGGCCGCGGCCTCCACGCTGCGGTGTAACTCGCTGTCACGGCCACACGGCCACACGGCCTCGCTCCCCCGAACAAACCTGGACCCCATGGAGAACTCTCTGGGGACCTCCTTTATTTCCCATGAGCTGTAGGCAGAAAAGTGCTAAATTAGCCCACGTTTTGTCCCTGGGGCTGACTTGTTTACTCTGAAAAACCGATCATTGGCGGCCGTCATTGTGCGGTGGCCCAGTGTAATGCCCAATTAAGGGCACGGGGTGGCCACTCGTCCCCCACGGCCACCCGGACCACGCCGCGAGGTGAAGGATGACCGCGTCTGCCAGGCCACCCAGCCTTGAGTCACGCCGGCTTCATAAAACACCAATGTCGGACTGGCTTTAAACAATATCTCCTTTGTGCCGTGGCCTTCGCAGAGCGTAACTAATGATTTGCGACCAAACGGCTGAGGAAAAAGGGAAAAAAAAATGGGACTTGAAAGTCAGAGAGACTGATGGTTTTCTAAATATTACCTGTGCCTCTGGAATACAGAGATATAGAGGGACAGAGTAACATTTCAGTAGGTTTGAGATGCGTGTTCTTTCTGAGCAGAGCTGTGTGATCCACATTCAGATCCTCCTGAACAGAAGTGCTCCCCCCCCCCCAGCCCCCCCTTGCCCTTCAGCGGAAGCCACAAGGCGACGGTAAATTCACAGAATTGCTGTAATTACAATAAAAAGGACAGCTGTTGAGCTCATGCATTTTCCCTCCCAGTACCCTCCCCCCCCCCAGGCCAAACCTTGTGGTAGCCATTGGCCGGGCAGTGTCTGCACTAAGAGGGCAGGAGGCGGCCTATTCGATCTCCATCAGGCCATTGCTAATGCACTCTGCACCTCCTCCCTCCGTCTCTGCCCGCTGATTCTCGGACTGACTGATAGCCATCAAGAAGGAAAAACGCAGTGATTTACGATGGACATCTCTCAGCCTCAGAAATAAATCCCTGTAAACCGGTACGAACAAAAGCTATTCACTATGAGGAACCTCCCAGGGACCGGCTGCTCACCTCTGATTCAGAGGATAATGAATGGGGGTGGGGGGGTGGGGCGCTCCTCTCTCATCCTTCTTTTCTTCGTTACCTTCCTTCATATACGGCTCCCACAAGGTTTTCCCCCACGGGTGGATCTCAGAAAAGCTATCAGAGCAGCTGTGGATTCAGGCGCTTTATGAGCCCTGCATGTTGGCCGCGCGTGCCGTCGTCTGTTCGCCGCGGCCGTGCGAGGGCTCGCGGGTCCTTTGTGACAAAAGCGAGTTCCAGCACCCTTTCTCTCATCTCCCCCCTTCCCTCTCCTCTCGCAGCCAGCTGTGATAATTCCGCTGCTGGATGTAATTATTCTCCTGTACTGGGGCTGTCGGCTCCCCGCTTTCGACTCCCCCACTTTATTTTTCTCGTTTGTTTAAATTTGCCCCCAGGATGCCGGCCGGCTCCCTTCCCTTGTTACGCCAACCCTGTCAGGGGCGGTTAGGCGGGGGGGGGAAGAGAATCCGGCGGAAACAACCGGGGAAGATTACAGAGCGGCCACCTGATCACGGGGGCTGCCAAATATGATTTATTTACACTTTCCCCCCTCAGATGGAAGCTGATAGAAGCCGAAATATGTGGCCGAAACACTGAATGCATCCTCGGCAGATAAGCCGTTGAAATGTTCAGCAAAGCGTACAGCGCCCTCTCTGGCAGACACATGCCACTGCCTCACTTGTGCATTTCAGCTCACCGCCGTGGAAGAGCCTGGAATGTGCGCGCATGTCGTTTTACCAGTTTGGAGAAGGTGAAGGCGAGGCAGTGGTAGGGTGAAACGTACCTGTCCAAGCACAGGGCCCAGTGGGGGACCGGGGGCTGCCTGCCCCGCCCGTACGATCATCCGGATCACGTTCCCCATCTCCACTTTCTTCACCGTCTTTGCTGCTCTCGAGATCTTTGACATGCTGCCAGTGTGACAATCACCCCGGACTACCTGCAGTCAGAGTCAGACACAGATCACTCCATCGGGTGCTGTGGAAGGAATAAATCCGTCCTTAAGGGGTATATCACTATGCTACAGCTTGTGATTAATCGTTTTAAAGTCTTGTGAAGGGTTCAGTACCTAATGTAAGTCATGGGTTTCTCAACTTTTCAGTGCGCGACTCCCAATATTAGTGCCAGAGATTAGCGACCCCCAATGTGTGGTTATATTACAATGGAATTTTTTCAGGGTTTGAAGTTTTTATTAACATACAGTGAAAATAACCTCACGACCCCCTCCGCTGGCACCTCACGAACCCCTGATCTAGGGGAGATACCGTATCCAAAGGCTGCAGCTTTGCCTCACCAAAGTTCTTTACGGTGCAGCATATCCATCCATCCATCATGAGACGCTAGTCTACTGCAGGACATCACTATCTCTCTTATTCTAGAATTTCATATTGCTGTGTTTAGCGTATCTACTGAGGCCCCATCGAATATCTCTGAAAGCAAGTCGGATGTAACAGAAACCTTCTGAATTATGACTTAAATCCTCAAATAATCAGAGCACTGTGACCAAAAAACGAAGATGACAGATAACGGCAACAGACTGTCAAAGAAGCACAAGAACAACCAATGGAGACATATTTCAAAGTTTCATGCTAACTGAAGCAAATACTTGGCCTCGAAAATGGAGTGCAGATTATAGAAACACTATCAAGAAAGAAATCTCCTCTATTTATTGGATAAACTATTAAGAAAAGTATCGCAGTAACATTATTACAGCAGTACATATGATGTGGCAAAAAACAGACACAGACAATAAGGACAGATGGACAAACAGTTCACAAAAAGCACTCCTGTTTATAAAAAAAATGCATAAATTAAAGGTTATGTATACTTTGTAAACAAACGGCTCAGATATTAATAAAAAGACAAAAATACTAGTATCTAGAGTAAGTGGTTAGAAAATAAATGGATGGATGGATGAATGAATGAATTATTTTTTTTCACATCGCAACTTATCAAGGACAAATGCATAAGAGAAAATTATGTTTTTCAAACTGCCTAACACATTTTTTTTAAAAAAGGAGACTGCCTTTTCTATAGACACAGTGACATGCAGAGCGACTGGCATGGAAAATCTCCCGTCGATTCAGGATGAAAACTACCATCTTTGAGGCCTTGCTTTTAATTACACCTCCAGTTTTAATTATGAAAATGTTATCAGTCAGCGGCATGTCCTCGCTCATGGTTACATAAAACAGCGATAAGAACTACATCTCATTGTGGTTGTGGAAGCAATAAGGTGAGTTTGTCTGCACTGGCAGACCATGTGAATTCATATTTATCACCAATACGCTTCTGTTCACTACAGTGTGTTCAGTGGCACACAGACACACACTGCACTGTGCAGGAAATGCACACACAGTCTTTGCAAAAAGCTTAACTAGCAGCCAAATGCTGAAGAACTCACGTCATAAGAAAACACATAAGAAAATTACACCCTATCTTACTGTAGCATAATGATTTGATTGGCTAACTGGCTAAAACATACAGTACCAGTGAAAAGTTTGGACACACCTACCATTAGAAAGGTTTATCTGTAACTTCTCTACATTTTAGAATAATTGTAAAGGCATCAAAACTATAAAATAACATATATGGAATTATGCACTGACCAAAAAGTATTAAGTAAAGCAATAACTTGTTTAGCTTAGTGGGTGACGACTCAGAAGGTTGCTGGTTCAAATCCCTGGGTCAGCAGAGTGACCCCACGATTCGGCCCTTGAGAAAGGCCCTTAACCCCAACTGCTCCAGGGACTGACTGACCCTACTGTCTCCGCTATGCCAGTTTCATGAGGTGGCCTCCTGGGATACTTCTGAAGAAATGAAATTAAAAATTATACTTTATTGATCCCCATGGGGAAATTCTCTTTTCACCTACCCCATCTTGCTCTCTAAGATGAGAGTAGATTCAGCACCAAAGGGCAGCCACCTGTAGCAGCACCCAGGGGGCTGGGGGTTAAGGGCCTCGCTCAGGGGCCCACAAATGTGCTGAGGCTGGGCTTTAACCGGTGACCTTCCAATCACTGGCTTCGCTCACTGGGCCACATGATTTTCCTATTTCTACTTCCTACTGTATTTGGATCAGGTGTCCAGATCATATGATGTGACCCTGTCACTCTCCTTTGTAGGCGAATTGGCGTGTCCAAACTATTAGCTGGTACTGCATTTAACAACAAAAATCTCTGGTCTATTGTATTCTGCCACACAGCGAAACAGCAAAGCATATACATCATACCACCATTATGTGGAGTGACAGTAATTGTTGAAGTAAACAATTATAAACCATCAGATGCCTGTCAAGTTCATTTTAAAGTAAGTTTTCCATTTATGAATGTGTCTAAATTCCAAGTACGGTTAGTGTGTGTGGACATGTAGGTGCCCCCTGCAATGGAGTGACATCCTATCCAGGGTTCCGCTGCCTTATGCCCTGTGCAGGCTGAGACAGACTGCTGGTCCACTGCTCTACATAAGCAGTTTGGACATGGTTGGATGGAAAAGAAGAACCATATATAAAACAATAAAAAAAAATCAAATACCAAGTATCACATTTCAGTAGTTATTCTATGATAAAAACTAATTTAATTTACTGTCAAACAATCGACTGATATGAACATGTGCCTGATTAGTTACTAGACAAAAAAAAAATGCTGAAATAACTACCTCAAACCCTCTGAGAACCACTACCAAGGCTGAGAGAGTTCAATATTGGCCGGAATTAGAAGGAAATGGATGTATTTAAAAGAAAACACATGCACACACACACACACACACAAACTCTGAAGTTCTGAATTATTACCATCGTCAGTGCTGGTTAGCATTCTGAAATATTTTACTTTCAAAGAGTCCTACGTCCAACAGATACGGGTAAACCCACAGACAGGATTAACAGGAAAAAAACTTTTTTATGCCATTTCAGAAAGAACAATACACTGGTGATCTGCATAAAACACTTGTATAATATATAACTGCATAACTGCATCTGATTATCATTTCAACTGTCCACAATTTGGCAGCAATTTCTAAAATATTTGTAAACTCTTACATATATATGTAATTAAGCAGTTTAATTCACTGGGACACTAATTTAATTTTATGCATCGTATTTTGTGTAACTAAATTTTGTAAAGTCTATCCTATGTCCTATACAACTCCAGGTAAACATTATGAAATGTAAAATATCCAATGACAGACATGTGCTAAAGTATTTTGTTACAATAAATGCCCCCCTTTCCAACAGTGGAATTTCCAAAAACTTGATTTTCAGAATTTCTAATGAAAATGGAAGATACATAACTTCATGCACATTCCTACACATCCTTCTCAACTTTTGCTACTCTGCGAAAAAGTAAACAAGCTATTTCCATTGTGTCTGTTATAAAATGGAAGAAGCTAATTGACCTCGTATAAATTTATACTACAGTAACAGTTGCAATAAAAATATTGATATGAAGCAATCGTAACTATACTGTTAGGTTTAATAATGGTGCATTTAACCTTATTCTGCTAGCAACTTTAATGACTTTGTATGACTATATGCATCTCGGACACTGTACTGAAAACCAGAGCCTGCTAAAATACACAGCCGTAAGTATAATCGTATATATCAATCTTACTGACACATCGACCTTTCATTCTGCACGCCCTTGCTTAACTGTCTGTTGATGCTGACTAGCTAGACTGAACTTAAGATCACCAACTAAATAATATATTATATGCAAATTCATGAACGCTTGGGGTCGGCTTCTCAAAGAGAAAGAACAATAAGTACCTTTCCGAAAAAGAGATGGTACTCCGAAGCATATATCCTCCTTCACGTTGCGATTACACCGTTACATGGGCGCAGACATGTTGGTTTAACCATAGAATCTCGTGACGTTGGACCGGAAACGGAAAGAGGGCACTTCCAGGGTTCACTTTTCTGTAGTACAGTCACGACTCTGACGAGCGCTTTGTTTCGTATAACATTACAGCAATCAAAAATGCATTGTTTCGCATTTTTTATAAAATATATCATACTATTATATATGCTATTCTCCTGCCTTTACGATGCTTCTACGAGTGACGTAAAGCTAAACCAACATTTTCTCTCGACCAGCCCATTTTTAAATGATTCATCTTAAAATAAGTATATCCTCGCTGTGTCTCCTTCGTGACTATTAAATTTCAATGACACGTGACTATTTCAGACACAGGCATAGAATTTCTTTCAAAACTTATATTAGCATAATTGGGTCACAAACCATCAAAGTAACCCTGATTTCGATTCAAAATACTTGAGCTCAGGGTAAAAGGTCTTTTATGAAGCATTTAAAAAAATAATCCACTATGCATTAAGCAGCGTTGTGTTATGTCATCCCTTTGAATTAAGTTGTATTATTTTGTAACCATTTTGTTTTGTTGGCAATGATACTGTCCAGTGGTGTGTATAAATGATAGATAGTATCGTTACAGTGAATTGAGCATTTTAATTTATCAACCAAAATGTCTTTGGACAATCAGCTCAGCTCTCTTATCACTCCCCCAAGTCTTTCTGACTCCTGTTTCCCTCAGATCTGATTCTGTCAGGAAACCCACGCATAAGAACCAAATACACAAACACAATGCTTGCAGACACGTTACGACTCTCTTTCTAGAAACATAACTTAACAAAACATATGAAACATTATTATCTAACCCTATAGTTATCCACAGCTTCAAATAAAATTGTTTTGTTATGTCCTATATATACAGATGTGTGTTGTCTGTATTGCACCTGTGTCAACTTGTACTACTTAAATTTGCAAATACTGTATTCCTTGTATATTACATTCATTCCTCTCCGTTGTGTATCTTGTGTCTTGTATTTATTCTTTGCCTATAATTGTTAATTGTTAATTGTTAATTGTTAATTTTCTATTGTCATGGCGTGTCCAACAGTAGCAAGCTGTGTCAACAAAAATCTCCACTGGCCTTGGTCATGTAGCAATAAAGATTCTAAAGATTCTGATAAGAACAAGCCTAAAAAGGCTGCCACCTGAGTAGTGATTCTGGGTGGAGGCCAATCCTGGACAGCGTCCAGGTTTTTTGTGTCAGGCTAGAGTCCTTGGCTGATGAGAACATGTCCTAGAATATTTGGATGCAAGTAAAGTGGCGTTTGTTAGCTTTCAGCAAGAACAGGAATGACTGAAGATGTCTTCAAAATAAGCACATTGTCAAGGTAGGTTAGACATTCTTTCAATTGCAGGCTGTGGAGAAACAGCCCCATCAATCTCTGAAAGGTTGTTTTGAGCATTTTTTTTTACTTCAATCTCTATGACTTTAAAGTGGTATGGGCTTTTTCCAGTTGTCAAAGAATTCTTTTATTTGTCTTGTGGTTCCAGTTAACTTGCCAGTATCCTTAATAAGTCCATGGTATTGAACCAGTATGAACCAGAAAATGTTCTAAGACATCTGTAGGATGTAGCAAGGGGTATACCTCTTTTGCAATGACTGAATTTAGCTTGTAAAAAATCTATGCAAAATCCATAAACTCCATGCTATGACCAAGGAGATGGGGAATGTTGGTGCTTTCTTTGACTTGGAGAGGAGCAGTGACACGCACAGTCACGCTGTGGGGGAGGACCCAAAACGACACTGAAGGCTGATTTATACGTCTGCATCGAATCTACGCCATTGGCCGCAGCATAGCCACATATCCTACAGCTTAGGTTGATGCCTGCAGTTAGGTTTCCTGGGAGGTGTGCATCAGGTTACAGCATATAGGCTACGGCATAGGGTATGTGGCTGCGCAGCTGCCTGCGCTGTAGAGTCTGCACACAGGTGTAACTGTTAAGTGTAGCATGGGAAACCTACTTGGGAGAGGAATATAGAGAATGGTAATGCTATTCTCTGTGTCCTCACTCCCAGACCAGCCAGGAGACAAGGCTCAGTTCCTTTACACTGTAGGGTAATTGTCTGAGGGCCATGTATAGTGGAGATGTCATAGGATTCGTTTAGCTGAATAACTTCATCTCTGGTCTTTCCAGCTCTTTTTCTATTGCGTGAGTTTAGGAGATCAGTCTGATCTATACTGCTTAAAATGTGATCAGGTTGTTATTTTTTAATTTCAGTATTAATCTGTTTCTTTTCTTCTCTTTTATTATGTGCTCTTGTATACCTACTGATGTATTGCACAGCACTTTGGTTACCACACTGTTAAACATTAATGAAAATAGAAAAGTTAGAAAAGAATTAGAAATTTCTAACAAAAATCACTGAAATGGTTAAACAGTGGAACTGTGCCTAAAATTCTTAACAGATAGATTTAATATCAGGAAGTCTGGTGACTTTTCAACAAAATGCAATTTTGTTAATCACACATGATTGTAACAATTAAGCAGCTACACTCAGTGCTTAATTACAAGCATTAAAAACAAACTATGACCTGACCCCTTATCAAACCCATCCATGAAAATAATGCCACATTTTTTAAATCTTGAAATGTTCTCATATAACCAGGCAGAAATTATTAGTGCTTTTCGACTGACTTACAAGAACTGACCTGTACTGCAAAGACTAGTTACAGAGAGGTTCCAGCTTGCTTCGGTTCTCCACTGCAGAAGGGTCGGCTTGGTAAAGGCGTTGCCTGATTTGGAGAGCGACAGTGATATAAAACCGACATTTATTTACAGCTCACACGGTATACATCATGATTTACTAATGAGCTAGTTGAATTAGCATTCACTTGTGTTTATTCACACTACAAATCCATTTTATACTTCAGATAATTCATGCGCAGGACACCTGTAACTCCATGCATTTCAATCAATCAGATGGTGATGATGAAACTAGTTTGGTTTACCCATGCTTTCAGCCGTGTCAGCGCAGTTACAGCTCAGATATGGCTTGCATACTTTACACAGGAAAACTGATAGTTTGTGGTATGGTTTGGGTATGGCTTGGTTCTTGGTGGCAATGAAACCGCACTAGAAGACTTAAACTATGCTTTAAGAGACTATTCATAAATTTTTTATGAATACTGACAGAAAGCAGTGCTGCAGTAAGCCTGGGGCCTATTGCAGTAAGCCTGGGGCCTGTTGCAGTAAGCCTGGGGCCTATCCTTTAGCACTGCCTATAGTCTCCCCTACTTTGACTAATTGCATATTTTATTTCCCCTACTCCTCCTGGGGGGTGCTGCCTGGAGCCCTCAATCTATCAAGATGTCCAGCACACCCTGCAACGTGACGTTGCCACTACCAATGACGTCCGTGCATCCAGCTCGCCGTTCTGCCTGTGTCATCTTCCATGTATGACCCGATTGGAGGGAGCATTGACACCGGCTTGTCATCTCCCCCCTGCTCCCCGTTTGTGTCTCAAATTTTATTGTTTGAACACTATGACATGGAACTTACCCATCTCTCCAATTTGACTCTCCCTGCCGGCCCCTGGAGGATGGGCTCCCCCTTTGAGTCTGGTCCCTCCCAAGGTTTCTTCCTTCTCGGGAGTTTTTCCTTGCCACTGTCGCCTATGGCTTACTCACTGGGGGCTTTGGGCGGGGATGCTGTAAAGCGCTTTGAGACGATATAATGATGTGATAATGCGCTATACAAAAATAAATTTGTTGTTGTGGTTGTTATTGCAGTAAGCCTGGGGCCTGTCGCAGTAAACCTGGGGCCTATCGCAGTAAGCCTGGGGCCTGTCGCAGTAAACCTGGGGCCTATCGCAGTAAGCCTGGGGCCTGTCGCAGTAAACCTGGGGCCTATCGCAGTAAGCCTGGGGCCTGTCGCAGTAAACCTGGGGCCTATCACAGTAAGCCTGGGGCCTGTCGCAGTAAACCTGGGGCCTATCGCAGTAAGCCTGGGTACTGTTGCAGTAAACCTGGGGTCTATTGCAGTAAGCCTGGTGCCTGTCGTAGTAAACCTGGGTACTGTTGCAGTAAACCTGGGACCTACTGCTGTAAGTGTGGAGCCCTTCACAGTAAGCCTGGGGCCTATTGCAGTAAACCTGGGGCCTAACGCAATAAGCCTGCAGCCCATTGAACTAAGCCTGGGGCTTATTGCAGTAAGCCTGGAGTCTATTGCAGTAATCCTGAGGCCTATTGCAGTAAGCCTGGGACCTACTGCTGTAAGCCTGGGACCTACTGCTGTAATCCTGGACGGACACCAGTTCACCTATACCACATATTTTGACCGTAGGAAGAATCCCACATAAATATGGCAAGTGCATGGCAAAAACTATGATTTTACAACACAATTTCAAGTTTCAAGTAAATAAGAAATTTATCACACAACGAAACAGGGGAAGACAGATGCACATTATTGCACAGGCTTACCCAGGCAGATGGCCAGGGGCCCCCACAAATAACAACTAACTTTGTTTAATAAAATGATCAGTGTGATTTTCCAGTGAGTGACTCAATCAAACTACTGGCGCTAACCCCCAATCCCCTGGGCAATCATTTTTAAAATTATCATTTATGTTTATCTAAAACATTTTGACTCTGTCATAGAAAAAAACCTTAGCTAGCTTTGCAGTTTAATTATTATTTCTTTTATAGATTATCTAATATATGTTTAAAAATTAGTTTAAAGTTTACTTCCGCTGCTTTTGCATAAGCGCTACATGCGTTCTCTGAGACAATCCTAATCATTTTCCTCCTTGCTGTTTAAATCATTCCAAAAAGGGTTTGTGAGAAATTTATGAACTCCTGCGTGCTTTATAAATACCCCAATATTTATTGCAACATAATCATATAGGTATATTTGCAACAAAATCACATTGCCAGGACGTTATATGCTGTAGTTGTACTTTTTAAATTTCTTGTCATACAATTTTGATCTTTTTGTTGTTTCTGTTCTTGTAACCAGATCACAATTAATTGTTTTTCTTTTCTTTTTTTTATACTTAGTTTATTGTTG